TCTAGTGAATAATCTCAAAAATACAAATGATATATTTTCCTGCTTGTTACTTCAATTTGTATACGTTTAGATATCGAATTAACTCCATTCAAAAAAAAAAAAAACAAATATCGAATTAACCTCTTGATTATATAGTCATTAAAAATGGATTCTTTTTTATGCTAAAACACAAAACATTTCAAACATAATGATCGGTAAAATGACCATTATACCCCTATTGTCGTCACTAGAAGCATTGGTGTACAACAATGATTAAATTGATGGGTCACACACACACATATAGTTTGGGAGAAACCAAGTAACCAACCAAAAAATATTCTTGTGGAGGGGTCACATTCTAATCAAATTTTTCTATAGTACTACTTCATCCACTATGTTACTACGTGGGGGTGTTTGGGGGAGAAAGCTAAGGTAGCTCTGACTCAGAGGAATTGGAATGCCTCGGCACTTGGACCCCTCATTAGCTCTCTAACCAATCAATGACCATCCTTTTCCATCTCAATTTTATCTCTCCTCTTTCTTCCTTAATAATCTCTCTTTCTTTCAATTCCTTCAACTATATACAGTCTGCCATAAAATGTAAGATTCAACATTGAATATATACTGATGCAGATCATGCAGTATGTCATATGCTGCAGGGATAAAATAAAAATATAATTGTGACTGACCCTAAAGTTTTAGGACAGTTCTTACTTCTTATTAGAGGACCCCCCACCACCCAAAAAATTGAAAAATTGACCCACACCCTTAATTCTTAAGGACAATCACAAGATTCACTACCTTCTTAGGTTCTTAATGAATTTGGTTTCGTTTTCTTTTAGGATGGGATTGGTTGTTTTTACCATAAGGAGAAGGGGCCGGTCAAATAGGTTGGAGTCGTTGCAGGTAGGGGTGGCAATTCGGGTCAGCAGGTTGGGTTCGGGTCAGATTTCGGGTCGATTTCGGGTTATACTTAGAAACTATTAAAAATAGTGTAAAACTTAATATTATTACGAAATATGAAATTTGGGTCAAATCGGGTCGAATTCGGGTTATTCGGGTTCGGTTCAGGTCGGGTTCGGGTCTCTCTCTCAGTAACTTCGGGTCGGGTTCGGGTCGGGTTTTCATGTCGGGTCAGGGTTTGCCAGCCCTAGTTGCAGGTTAACCTAGTTCAGCTTTGCAAGTATTCTTTGGTGTTTCCCGTAAAATTGATGGTACATATGTTGTTGAACACTTCGATTAATCATTCTTTGCTCATTTATTTGTTATTATAGGCTCTCCTACTAATTGAACAAATATACAATAAACTCATCAAGTATAACAATTATCTACATGTTGACATGTTGTCATCGCAAATGAGAAAGAGAAGAATAAAGATTTTCCATCCCTAGCTACTACGTATTTGAATAATTGAACGTTTGAGAGTTGTAAGGTGAAACTTTTACTAACTACAAAGTACCAAGACTACCAACCATGCAATACATTTGATGATACCAATAAATAAATGACTCCAATGGGACACATTATTCAGGTTTTTTATTTATCACATCTATTCTTTCTTCTTCAACTCCTGAGTATTAGCAGCTGCTTTTGACTATTTTCTGAAGAAGAGTTTGTTCCAAATAAGATAGTCATAGCTTTTCCCACATATTTTGGACCCATATCATATTTTGTTTTGTGCAGCTTTTTCTCCTGCGTACAACTATTCTCTGAAGACGTATGTGATTCCTGATTTACTGAGTAACTAGCAGTGATTCTTGTATTTTGCTGTTGGAATTTCTATGTGCAATATATGATGGCCTATTTTTCTTAACAATTTCATTCAATTCCAATGGAGATTCACTTCTTTTATATCTACACCGTTATTTTTAAATCTATCATGTTGGGGATAATTAAGGTTACATTCTCTTTAATTAATATTTACGTACTTAAATTAAATTACTTTTATTGATAAAAAAAATTGCTTTTACTCATTTAAACTATAGAAAATACATATATTAAACCAAATCCAAGATAGTAATTACGGAGTATGGTTTTTTTTTTTTTCTTATGTAAAATACGGACTATAATATAGATGATCAAATTTAATTTTGGCCAACTGAATGCTATATTTACTTATTTAGACTTTAGAGTTCCAACTTGTTATTTTTATTTTTATTTTTATTTTTTATTTTTTTATTTTTTTACAAAAAAAAACTACCATTATTATTATTAATATAATTTATTTTTTATTTTATTTTTGGTGTTTAGAGAGCCAAAAAGGGTGGGGGTAAGAATCAATCCCATAATCTTTTGAAAGCGGGAGAAAAACTCTAACCATTTGAACTATCTCTCACTTTATAATAAAATAAAATAAAATAAATAATAATAAAAAATAAAAACATTAGAAAGTAAATAAAACATGGTCCACTCATTATATCTATATTCTCTTCATGTTACTTGTTCACCCACTAGTGTACACATAACGTTAGAACCGGATCACTTGTGAATTTGTGATAATTGGTGCAATGGTGCTCATTTGACTGCTCATTGTTCAACTTCTAATTATAACATGCGAATCTCAATTTCGGATCTTCAATGTTGAACATATATTAACTTTTTCCAATCAATACATCACTATATATTCACTTGTACGCACATACAATGATACAAATAGCTAAGTTAATCAGCAAATACTTTGTAAAATAAAGTTGTAAGTATATGGACATAAATAGGTATAATGTATAAGACTACGTTCACTCAAATATACTTAGTATTAATTATTATTTTAACAAAATCAACTTATATAACGGTTTAACAATTGGAACTTAAGTACCAACAAATTTATTAATACCACTAATATAATCGGTTTTTTCTTTTTTTTTTTTTTTTTTTTTTTATTAAATTAGTTAACGCAAATGTTCGCACAAGCTAAGTAGGTAAGAAACGAAGATTCGTTAGGACGGGTCAAATTTCGACAAGTTTAATAGCTAGGATGTACTTATGGAAGTACTACGGTAATATAGCATGTGAAACTTTGGCTCATGAATGACAATGCATGAACAAAACTCCAAAAGTCACTTTAAAAAAAAAAAAAAAAAAAATAAAAAAATCAGGTTCACTAATATGAGCCAAATCATCTAGCATAAAATTAGTAGGATTCGACCCTGTCCTTCATAAACTTGCGGGAAACCGAAATGGAAAGCATTTTAATTATTTGACATGCCAACATTTGATGTGACTCTTATTTGAACTACTAATGTCAATCACATGATGCAATTGATGATTTTGAAACTGGGGTGGTTGCATTGCACTGTTAGCATACTAAGATAACGAATGCCTTTGTGCTAGAATTATTGGAAATTTGGAAGTACTTGTAGTCTTATACATAATTTAATAAGGTTCGCCGAATGAAAGGTACACAAAAAGTAAGATTATTTGATTTCATGAGTAGTTGCTAATCCTTCAAGACTAGGTTAACACGAAGATGCACAAAATATTGGAATAATTGAGCGGTAATGTGCATAAAATTTGATCGATATGGATTGGAGTTGAGTTCCTTGCAACCATTGTGTTTCACAAAGTATTGGTCATGGTAGATTTGCAATTTTTCATTCAGATCCTCAACTACCTATTTTTGTGTCTTTTTTCGTATTAATCTTATACAAAAATATTATACAAAGTAATAAAAGCAAAAGTTCTGATTATACGAAGTATTGTTAACCTTAAGTCCTTAACCCTTAAAACTTGGCTATTATAATTTCGATTAGAGTAGAGTAATGCAGTATCAGTTTGTGCATATATGGGCTGGCCCAATTTTAAAGAGGATACGAAGGAGATATCCAGACTATTGGTCTATCATCTAAAAGGATCAACAATGGCCCAAAGAAAGGCCCAATTAGATAGCAGATGGACATTGGACTTGCGTTGACTAAAAAAATCCAAGTGGAACAGATGGCCAATAGAATGTTGAAGCTGAGATAACTGATGTATGAATGTATGATGATAATTTTTGCTAAACACGTGTGGCTCACATAAATTGACAAATCCAATACGTATTAGCAAGTCTTTTGTGATTTTAAAGGTGTCTTATCAAAAATACTCTATTAATTAGTCGAACTTATTAAATTCATGATAATTTTAAAAACTGACAACAGAAAAGTGGAAACACCTTTTTCTTGTTTTCTGTTTTTGATTTTTTTGTTATTTAAAAAAAAAATAGAAAACAAAAAAAGATACCAAATAAGCTCTTGGTTAAAGATTTTAATTCTTAAACTTTACGAGTAATTCATAACCTATTTTCATGAATACGAATTAGGAAAATGATAAATATAGTCCTATGTATAAGAAATTAAGAAGCTAAAAAATTAAAAATATTGAGGATAAACTAACATTCATTACACCATTCTGCATGTAATTTTATCATAATTTCCCAACTTAATTCCATTTTAGGAAGTATATTTCAGGAGGGAGAATGAGGAGTCGAACGATGGAGGGACTAACCATCCCTCCACTCCCCACTCCTCTACACATTAGTGTTTATAGCTATATACTTACGCAGTTAGAGTTGAGCAAAATTAGTTTAATTGACATCTACATGCTTAAAATACAAGATCAATATTTTGTAAATATAGGGTAGAATCTAATTTAGTTACTTCTCATATCATTTGCATTTCAATCTTCTATACGTTTTTTGTGTCACTTAATTACCCTTCCAAGTCTTTTACCTATTATTAAGCTAAAACAACTATAAGTTGGAAACAACTCTCTTATCACCTAACCTGGGCTTTTATCGGTAGTTACTCCCTCCGTCTCTTAATATTTGCCCCATTGCAAAATATGGGTCAAACTTTTAAAACTTTGACCATAAATTCTCGTTGATCTGTAAGTGATAATATATTCATGTGAGATCTTGTTAGAATTGTCTCATTGTATAGTTTATTAATATCAATTTTTTATAATTTTTACACATATAAAAATAGAGATATATGCATTTGGAGACATGTCTTCACATCGTGAAAAGTCAAATACGTTAAAAAAATAAGGGATAGAGGGAGTAGTTAATTTACTTTAATACGGAATAAAAGAACAAAAAGATGTGCATAACCTTAATAATTCCTGGTTTGTGTGCCCTGTAAATTAGCTAACAGTGGCAGTGATATGTGGAGTAAACCGAAGAACACCAAACTTCAATGGCTTCTCTATCTCTTTGTTTAAAACCATTCAAATTTTACCCCGTCAAATTTTCTCTCTCTCAAAATTTTAAAACCCCAGTAAATTACAATAACATAATCAGTTATAGTAATAATGACAATTTTAATTTCAATGTTAAAGGTAAAGATTTGAAGCCCATAATTATCACCGGCAATCCTCCCACTTTCGTCTCTGCTCCTGATCGCCGTATTGTCGCCGGTTCGTTTTCCCTCTCTTCTTATTTTTTTTTGCAATTTTTATTTATTTTATTTCATATATTTTCTGCTATAATAATATGATTTTTGAGATGATTTTTGGGTATATTTTGTACAATTATGATTATTGCCTTTATTGGCAATAGGGTTTGAAGATTTTTTTTTATTGTAAAGTGGGAATTTGTGGGAAAATTCTCAAATTTTAAGAGGATACATATAATTATATGGTACAAATTTTGTAAAAAAGTGTAAATTAGGCCATGATTACAATTAACATTGGATTAAAAAGATTACTTTAATTGATTTAGTGGTACAAATTTAGCAGTATAGTTGTATGTGATAGTTATTTCTAGTTAAAAGTGGTAGAATGATTTCAAGTTTGAAGTTTTAATTTTTGTTGTCATTGAAATCTTGCGCATTGTGTAGTGGGGGATTTGCATGGAGATTTGTCTAAGGCAAGATGGGCGCTCAACATGGCCGGAGTCTTGAGTTCAGATGGTCGAGACTTGTGGACTGGTGGCGAGACGGTATGCGCTATACCATGTCCTTGTATGTAAAATTCCATGGGAGATGGATAATCATGAATCATGATGAATTGTAATATGTGAATATCTATATGTTACACCTTTTTAGATGCTTATCATACAATTCCAATTATTATTTTTTTTTTAAAATACAGTAGTTTTCCATACAAACAATTTGTGTCTTTGTAACTGCTCTCTAGTTGCAAGAATTGATATTGTCGCTGCCAATTCATGGTGTTTCCAGCATTATGTTCAAGGCATGAAGGCATGTCATAGCTATTAGTGTTGAGTGTTGATTCATTTGTCTAGTGGTTATCTGATTCAGACTCAATTATTAGTGTTAATCGTTGATTGTTGGTTCATCTGTCTAATGTTTACACTGCCATTATATGTACTTCTGCATCTTTTCAGTGCAAGATTATGTGATAAGTATCTATACCTGTGTCAGAGAGTTGAGTACTTGATATGGTTGGATAGGAAGAGTTTTGGGAATATTGTTTCTGACATTGTGTATATATGATAGATTTGTTAATTGTTCAACCTTTACGCGGCTTCTTGATTTATGTGAGGGGCAGCTTAGTAGCATATGTGTTGTAGGGAAGTGCCTTACGCATCTAGCCCAAATGAAGGCATTGGAATGGACTTTGTGCTCCTAGTTACAGTATAATTTGTATATTGTAATTTGATGGTCTGGGAAGCTCAATTTTGAGTCTAAATGGTTCACTTATACTAGCTTTGTTTATCATGAAATAGGTGTTGATACAGCTTGGAGATATACTTGATCGAGGGGAGGATGAAATAGCTATCTTGTCATTGTTGCGGTCTCTTGATATTCAGGCAAGAGTGGAAGGAGGAGCTGTCTTCCAGGTGTGTGTGTTTGGATGTGACTGTTGATTTATAAGCCATGGTGTCATGGTGATATGTTTATTTATCTTTGTTTTTTAGGGAGATCATGAAATGTCCTTCAGCTGTTAAAACCAACCTTTTATGACCTTCATATACCTCTTTTTTTTTTTTTTTTTAATCATTGTTCACCTTCATACAAGATGAATTCCTAGCTTCCCTCTTTTTCCTGCTGTGAAGATGCCATTGTTATAGTTTTAGCCAGTTCATAAATTGATTTTGTTATAATTGTTTCGTTGAAACCTTTCTTTTTTCCTTGAAATAGGTCAATGGAAATCACGAAACCATGAACATAGAAGGTGATTACAGATACGTTGATTCTGGGGGATTTGAAGAGTGCGTGGATTTCCTGGAGTACCTGAATGAGTGTAATCACAATTGGGATGAAGCTTTCATTGGCTGGAATACTGTTTCAGAGAGGCGGAAAGAAGATTGTCGAAAATACCAAAATAACTTTGATCCTTGGAATCTAGTCAAGGTATTGGGACTTTTTGTTCTGCTTGATATTTCAGATCAATTCCCATTTTGTTATGCTAAGGTATCTATTATTTGCCGATTTTGGCATTTCTGATGAAGTATCAGCAGGCAGTCTCATGGCCTTTATTCATGCTGTGTTTTTGACGATAGTCTTGTAATAATACACATGTATTAGGACAGAGGCAGAGAGGAGTTATTGCCCGGTCAGTCCTCCTTCAACCAGGAGGCCGACTTGCTCGTGAATTAGCACGGCATCCCATTGTCCTTAAGGTTAATGATTGGGTCTTTTGTCACGGAGGACTTCTTCCTCACCATGGTGCGTACTATGAACTCATCCTTTAAATGCTTTTGTTTTGGCGGTTTTTTTTAAGTTTTGATGTTTGACTCTCAACTCATTTAAGAAGAATTTGGTTATTTAGTTGGTTATGGCATAGAGAGGATGAACAAAGAGGTTTCCCATTGGATGAGAGTGGAGAATGACAATGACGATACTACATCCCCTCTTCCTTTCATTGCCACCAGGGGATATGATAGTGTTGTTTGGAATCGCTTATACTCGAGAGATACTTCAGATTTGGCTGAATATGAAATTAACCAGGCAAGAATTTTCTGCTTTCTAAGTTGCATGTATAGATATGTTCAAAACTTCCCTGTTTTGTCATGACTCAAGAATGATGCAGATACATTCCGGATTTTGAATGCTGCATTCTGATTAACTTTTTTTTTGTTCTTAAGATACATGAAATGCTTGAAGAAACTTTACGGGCTCTAGGTGCTAAAGCGATGGTGGTGGGTCATACCCCTCAGATTAATGGGGTGAATTGGTATGTGCTTAAATTGATAGCATACAGTATACCTGGGGTGGCTTCCTAATTATATTGCACGGTTGTGATGCCTTCTTGAACTCTCTCAAAATTTTGATATCTTTTATGGACTTGTAGTGAATATAATTGTAGCATATGGCGCGTTGATGTAGGGATGTCTAGTGGAGTTCTTGATTCAAGACCAGAGGTAAAGTTTCTACTTTGTAGTATTGTGCTAAAAAAAAATATATCGAGAAAGTTCAAATAGAGGCCAATAATAACATTCCTGTTCATTCTTTATTATCCCTTGTGATCATTGAAAATCTTAGACTATCTTTGGATATATTTGGGTTAGGATTTTAGGTTTAGGTTCCATTTTTTAAGTGTTTGTGTATTTGTTTTTTTTTTAGTGTCTTACATGTCAATATTTCTGTTAGGTTTTGGAAATCAACGGCGACAAAGCAAGAGCAATTAGAAGCCATGGTGATGCGTCCAATGAATTACATGTTCTCAGCTACATATAAAACAAAAGAAAAAAGTAACTGAAATGGGAGCAATGTGATTAATTTGGCCAATCTTGTAAATATTGAGCCAATATGTTTGTTTGTTGATAATAATGGTTTTGTGTTTATTACTGATTTCAGTCAAAGATCACAAGATGAAGACAATTGTACTACCACTTAAGTTAAATTGTCTTTGTTTACAAGAGGTTGAGTTTTCAATAATTCATGACATGCATGGTTAACTCGACACATGCAAAAATCCATCATCATAGCAAACAATATTACTCTCAATTCTCTACATATATAGCATGAAAATAATGTAGCAAACAAATATAAATCACATATATAGCATGAAATGTACTATGATGTGGCAACCTAATTTAGACTCTATATCATTCGGGTTGAATATAAACTTTTTTCTTAATATAGGTTGTATTTAAACCTTCACCCATGGCAGCTAGGTATATTTTTTTGTTTTTTTGAGTGTGTATGGTAAATCTTACTAACTTTGGATATGAATTTCATTTAATTCACTTTTATGAGATCTACACAATGGTCAAAATAGCAAATATAACCTCTCAAAACAATAAAACTTATCAAAAGAATAATAACACAAAGAGGATTTGTAAACTATAAAAGTCATGTACCACGTGTGGATGGATGACTTAAATTGTGGAAGCTCAATGAGATGCCCAACTCCACTATTTATAGTTGACGATGGTGGTCATAGGAAACAAGTAAAATGTAAAACTATATCTTTCTCGTTGAGAAAATGTTCTTCAATACTAATTTTCAACTCATTGATGAACTTAGAGACATTAGTTGCAAGCACTAACCTTGCTTAATTATCAAAAATATTTTAGAACACACATCACCAGAATTTTGAGACACACATACAACAAAGTACTTTTCCTTTTTACTCACCATTTCACCAATATCAATAAAAAAAAATAATGAAATTTGTGTTCTAAAAGGATAGAAATTATCAAGAGGTAAATTCCAAAATGCATTATTGGTAATTATTGTCGTGTATTTAAAAGTTCTTCTTGCAAGGAGGATCTTCTAATAATTTTTTTCTTTACCTTACAAAAATATACTATTGTTAATCATTGTTGGAGCTTGATCCGTTTATTTAAGTAAAATGTAATTAATTCTTTAATTTTAGGGTAATTAAATAATACATAGATTAACTAATCAAGGTTTTATGTGTTATCCAAGTGGAAAAGCTTGCTATTGTCAAAAAAAAAAAAAAAAAAAAAAGGGTGGAAAAGCTTAGTTTATTACGTAATTCTCCACGTGAAATATTTAAGCTCCTAATGATATTATAGTCATTCTCCCTCAGTTTTTTTAAGTGACACACTTTTCTTAAATTTTCGTTAAAAATATTACGTGTCTCCCTCTTGAAACATTGTACCATTTTAAATTGTATTTCTCCGTCATTTGATACATATTATTTCTTTCATTTCACATTCTAACAATTCATAAGCCATATAAATCTCTCCAAACTTTTGTTATAAGATGATACTACTATGTCGCTTAAGAAAATATATAGTTTGCTATGACTCATTTAATTAGTTGATTAACTTATTAGGGTTTCCTTCATTTGCACCATTAATAAAATAAATGCAAGCCATTATGGATTTAGACTTGTGGAGTTTGAGTTCAATATTTCCAGCCAAATTAACAAGATTAGTCTAAAATTATTAAGTGCTTAATTAATTGTTTAACCTTGTAAACTCCGCAATTCCCAAGCTTATACAGGTTGAATCCTAAACTGCCACCATTTTCTCTCCTCTGCTACTTACCACCCTCTTCCACTTCTCACACTCTCTCAATCATGGCCTCTTCCCTAATTCTACCTTCAGTCTCTCTGAAAAAGACCCCATTAAACTACTCTCAATCCCTTAAAACCCAAAAATTTTCAAGCTTCTTTGGGTTTAAAAATGGCGGCAATCTACGAATTAAGTCACACGGAGCTAGGGTTTTTATGAGCGTTACTGCTGGATCCCCTTCTCAAACTGCTGTTGATGACGCTTTATTCTCTGATTATAAGCCTTCTTGCGCTTTCCTCTTTCCTGGGCAGGTGATTGTGCTTTGCAATTTTTTTAATCTTTGATTTTGCATAATTCGATTAGAGTTTGATGTTTTCTTGTGAGAATTCAGAGATTTGATGTATTAGTAGGTTAAATTGGTAAATAAATTGAGATTATTGATCCGCATTGTAGAATTATAATTGGTTAATTGTATCTTCCAGTATAAAATTAATCAAATAATGGGTTTGTGTTAATTTGGGGGCTGGCATTGTTTTCAGGGAGCGCAAGCAGTAGGAATGGGTGCAGAGGTTCAGAATGTGCCTGCAGCTGCTGCCTTGTTCAAGAAAGCTAATGACATTATGGGGTATGCTCAATTGTGATGCTTTATCTTGCATTAGTTTTTTTCTGGGGCGGAGGCCGGGGTCGGGTTTAGGTTTGCAGTGTTTATGTTTGATGGTTGAGGTGAGAGTTTTTGTGGGTATGCTTTGATTGATTTATTTCTAGTCCTTAACATTTGTAGCTTTGATCTTTTGGAGATTTGCATCAATGGACCAAAGGAAAAGCTCAATTCAACTGTCTTAAGTCAGGTATCTTCAGAAAAATCAAGTGTCTTTTCTGCAATTTTATGAATAAATGGCTCAAAATTACTATTTTTAATAGCATCGATAATCTTTGCCTTTTAAGCTAGAATTGAGCTAAAAAGCTAACAAGCTTGTCCTAGTGGTATAGTTTTTCCATGGATCTTATTGTAAACACAGCCAAGTACTCTGTATCCGTAATATATACATCCTATGTTCCTATCAATAACATCTGCTTTATAACTTTCATTGGCCTCAAGATAATGATAATTGTTCAATGGCAAATTGTAATAGATCTTTGTTTATTACTAACTACGAAGTATTAAACAGCTATTATTTCCCCTTTTAATCATTCTTATACCCAGCAAACCGAATTCATATATCTGATTTCATTTTAAGATTCTGACCATCTAGGGGTATTATTTATTTTCTATGTGACTTATATTACTGTTGCCCACTCCAAAAAGGGGACATTATTCAATCCTATGTTTTATGTATGCAGCCAGCTCTTTATGTTACAAGTTTAGCTGCTGTTGAGATATTGCGTGCTCGTGAGGGAGGCCAACAAATAATTGATTCTGTGGATGTGACATGTGGTTTAAGTTTGGGAGAGTACACAGCTCTCGCATTTGCGGGAGCTTTCAGGTGTGTCAAGTTACATTATATATTTCTCAGCCTATTGTCTTTTCCTTGATAATTATTAGCAATTGATCTTCTGATACTCCATCTATAGTTTGCCCCTTAATCTAGAGTTAAAGCCACAGAATATCCATGTTATTTGATGGAAAATACTGGTCATAGTTGTATGATTTTGGACCTTTTTACATCAACTTTATTCTCCCTGTATGTTCATGCAAGGCCACAGGCATACTTTTGAAGAATTGATAACTAAAACATTGCTTTTGCCCCTTGTCAAGAGATAGAGAATTGCAAGAATGAAAATTAATGACAGGTCTTATATTCCAAATATTATGCCCTACATCAGTTGGAATTAGCTTTGGGGGGGGGGGGGGGTAGCAGCCAATAATAGGATTTTGAATATTCTTATTAGGAGTTCAGGATATGAAACTTTAGTTCCTCTCTAAAAAACTTCTAAAACCCTTTTACTTTTTTTACTCGCATCACCCTGCCAAGATTCATGGACATTTTAAATAATTTTAAGTTGCTTAATGAGATTTTTTCTACGTAAGGGAAAATGCTACTTGGATATCCAATTCTGATAGATCAAATCCAATACACCGAGGTTCTGCCAACTAGTTCAAAACTGTGTGTCACTGTGTCTCATTTGGTTTGTTAATCTTCTAGTCAGTTGGCTCCTTTTTTTTTAAAGACCATTATAACTTGCTCTCTCTCCTTAGTTATTATTCCTAGCCATCTATCATTAAAGTAGATAATATTCTGGCTCCCGCCTAAAGATGATCGACAACATTTATGTTTTAGTTATTCTATGTGCACAATGCTTGAAAAATGTGAATTTTGTGAAGAGATGATGATGGCAGTCACAAAGAGTAGTTAATGCAAATCATGTGTCCTTGTGGATCCGTCCTCTCAGCAGCCACAAAATGCTTGTAGTTGAGGTTGAAGTTGCTAGCCTTTGGGCTGTTGTTGACAAATGGCAATTCTGCAGTTCTAATGAATAGCATGCAAGAGCAGATAGTAGAAGTTGCAAGGATTCTGGTCATAAGTGTGACGATAAATGTCTTTAAGGGAGTAGTACTATGCAAAAATTAGTTCAATGGTTAAAAGTATCAGTGGAAAGCCCAGAATTTGATACCTGAGTTCAGATAAAATTTCAAGGACGAGACTTTAAGGTGAAGTGTTATCAGGAGTGGTTGCGTTAGAGATCTTGTTAAAATGAAGGTCCATTCTTCAAAGTTTATGAGTTTAACGATTACTGCATATCATCTGTAGCATAACTTTTTAGTAGTAAAAATTATACCTAAAATAGTTTATTGAGCACTAAGGTGGTTTTGGAGAGTGAGGAGTGAGCACTAAAATTTCTATGCTTGCGCTATAAGAATTTTGTACTCACTTGTGTTTGCCTTCTTTACTATTGAAGCTTTGAGGATGGCCTGAAGCTGGTTAAGCTAAGGGGTGAAGCTATGCAGGTAAATAATACAGAATTAACTTAATGTACATGCTTATTTTGAAAGCTTAATATACATGCTTATTTTGAAAGCTTAATATACATGCTTTGTATTTCTGAAGAATGATATCATCACTGATGTATGATTCTACCATATTTCTGTTTATAGGCAGCCTCTGATGCTGCACAAGGTGCAATGGTTAGTGTCATTGGCCTGGATGCCGAGAAGGTTCAAACTTTGTGTGATGCTGCAAATGAAGAAGTTTCAGAAGACGAAAGAGTTGAAATTGCGAATTTTCTTTGCCCTGTAAACATCTTTCAGACCCATGTTTTTTGCGAAGTCAATTGATCTCCCTAAATATGAAAATTTATAAAATGAATCTACTTGGGCAGGGGAACTATGCAGTGTCTGGAGGTGTAAAAGGAATCGAGGCAGTAGAAGCCAAGGCAAAATCCTTCAAAGCTCGTATGACGGTATTATTTTGTGACTTATAATGTGCAGTTGTGGTAAAACTAGCAAAATCCTGTATGAACAATTTTTATTTTAAAACACTCATCAACAACCATCCTTCAGGTACGATTGGCAGTGGCTGGTGCTTTCCACACCAGATTCATGGAACCAGCAGTTTCTAGATTAGAAGCTGCATTGGCCACAACAAAGATCAGGACACCACGGATTCCTGTCATATCAAATGTTGACGTGCAGCCCCATGCGGACCCAGAAACAATTAAGAAGATATTGGCACGACAGGTGAACTAGTCGAAACCATTTTAAACATTCTTTCTCAATTAAATTTTTACACTGCAGTACTTTGTCCAGAAATTGTTGCCAAAAAATTCTTATCCAGAAACTGACACTACCTATATGTGATAGGCTACATCTCCTGTTCAATGGGAATCAACATTGAAAACTCTCCTGGACAAAGGCTTGAACAAGAGCTACGAATTAGGACCCGGAAAGGTACGCATTTGGTCATGCTGATAATGCCATAGAAATGAAGTCTTCCTTATTCCTATCCAATACGTTAGCTAACATACATTTTATCTTCATTTGTTGTTTCACTTATGTACTTGCTAAATCAGGTTATTGCGGGCATTATGAAGAGAATCAACAAAACAGCTGAGATTGAGAACATCAGTGCATGAAAGAACTGAAGTATCGCACAAATTACTTTGTAGCTTATACGAATTCGTAGACATAGATTCATTTGTAAGAGTAGATTGCAATTTTTTTGAGCAATAATCCATATCATGAGTTCGTATTCAGATTTAATTTAAAGCTTCTATGAACTTGTAATAAACGATTATTTTTAGTGTATCAAAAACTCAGTACTCGTAAAATATTGTCGAGTTAAGCCTACAATTATCGAGAAACATAAGGTAAAATGTAGTCAACTAGTCATTCAGATGATCAAAATACAAACCAAATCAAACAGAAACCTCGAAACATAATTGCACAATGCCAAATCAAGCAGTAGAATGGGGCGGCTGGCGGAGGCGTTGGAGCTGATGAACCCATCGGTCCTCCGGCAAGTCACTAACCCAATCAGGAGGCATTCCAGGAAAGGAAACACTGCGCATAGCTTCCATCACTCTCACTGCATTCTCCGACGACAACGGAGCATTCCTCCGGCTCTCATCTTCCTCAATTGCTCTCCTCATCGCACTATCCAAGTCCACTCCCATTCTCTGCTCATCCTCTTCTTCAACTTCAACTTCACTTTCTCTCTCCTCCTCATATTCGCTCAGATTCAGCGCTCTCACCCCAATTTCAGCAGCAGAGTAATCATGGCCGTTGCTTAGGCTGCGGTGTTGATTAACCGCGTCATTCGGATCATGATATCCGTTGATGTTCGGATTATTCAAATCGCTGTCTTCGTTGCCGTCAATCGAAGAGATCGGTTGGTAGTAATCGGCGATTTCGTCGGAGTTTGTATCGGAATCGCTGTCTCCGGCGTTGTCTGCAACGACGTCGTTAGGTCAATGAAAAATAAATAAATACTATAAATAATCGAGAAAATTAAAATGTGAAATCACCTGCAATGAAATCGGTTCTGGAATTGGATGCAGCATTCATTGTTGTTGTTGTTTTTGTTTTTTTTTTTTTTTTTTTTTTCCAGATGAACAAAGTTGAAATGGAAATGGTACGATCGTTATCGTACGAAGCTAAAAGCCTGGAAATAATGTTACGACGTCGTTTTCTAATTCTGAAACTTAAATTAAACCCAAATAGAAATTACGGCTATTTCACCAAATGCCACTGAGTAATTTCGAAATTCACCAAATGCCATCGAACTTTTCCAAATTCACCAAATGCCACCGAGTTTTAACAAAATTCACCAAATGTCATTTCCGTTAGTTGACCGTCAATGTCCGTTAGTTGACCGTTAGTTATACCCCACCACTTGCCACGTGTCACCTTCTGATTGATCCGTTTTAAAAAAATATATATATTTTTAATAAAATTAAAAAAATAACAAAAATAAAAATTAAAAACTTTTAAAAATAGTAAAAAAAAAATTAAAATAAATAAAAATTACAAAAAAAATAAAAAAAAAATTAAGAGGTGGCAGCCACCACCTCCTCCGTGGTTGCGACGGGATAAGGCTAGGGGAAGGGTCGCCGGCGGCCGGCTCGCCTGCCCACCCACGAAACCCTAGCCAGCCACCACTTGCCGGAGCAAAATCCGACCAGAACAACGAAAGGGGAATATTTTCGTTCATACAAGGGGAAGAACAACGAAAATTTGATCTTCAATTCGACAAGTTGTGTCGAAATTGATTGAGGGCTTTGTTTTCTTTTGATTTCAATTGCAAAATCATGTAAATAATTGTTATTTTCGTTTTATAATCAAAGAGTTTGATTCAAAATTAAAAAAACCCTAACTTTTTCCCCAATTTGATTTTGAATGAAAATCATCAAATTAATTCAATAAGATTGATAATTGATACCAAAATCTTGTTTTGGGATTAAAATCGAACATCAAACCGCAAGAAAATCGTGATTTTATTCGAAATTGTTCGAATTTTGGGTCGCATCGTTCTTGTTCGTCGCGGCACCGTGGCGTGGTTGCGTTTGGTGGCTGGAAGTTGTTCCTGGCTGCTGCGTTGGAACCCACTGACGTTTCGGCTGGCTGCGTTGGCTCGCATTTTTCCTGCGATCGTTGGCTGCTGCGTTGTCTGGAAATTCAGCCACCTGCTGCTGCGATTGTTCTTGGTTGCTGCCTGCTGCTGCGTTGGCTGGAGTGCGGCGGCGGCGGCTTCGTGGGCTGGCCGGTGGCAGGCTGGTGGTGGCAGCATAATTTTTTTTTTGTTTTTTTTTTATTAATTTTTTCAAGTATTTTACTATTTTCCATTTTTTAAAAATTTTTTCAACTTTTTTTTTTTATAATTTTTGTTTAATTAATTTTTTTTTTAAAATGGACCAATTAGAAAGTGACACGTGGCAAGTGATGGGGTCCACTAACGGTCAACTAACGGTTGCCAGTCATTAATGACATTTGGTGAATTTTGTTAAAACTCGGTGGCATTTGGTGAATTTGGAAAAGTTCGATGGCATTTGGTGAATTTCGAAATTACTCAGTGGCATTTGGTGAAATAGCCGTAGAAATTAACAAAAAACAATTTTAAGGGTTGCATCAGCCGAAAATCGAACCCGGGTCTGTACCGTGGCAGGGTACTATTCTAGTACTAGATCACTGGTACTTGTTTACATTTTTTTGCATTAATAATTTAAGAACCATAAAAAAAAAATTGACACAAAACACCCGCACCTTATCCAAGTCTAACATCAGCTTAGTCACCTTACTCACCTACCAATTGATAGTCTTAATCTAGTGGTTAAGACTAAAAGCATGTGTACGATATTATAAGTTCAAACCCCTACATCATCTTTTGTAATAGATACTACAGCCTTTGTGGTTCTTTCACAATTTCGCACTTAAAAAACCTTAATCACCTTCCAAGAGTACTAACATACTTCCATTATAAATTTACAGATACTACAGCCTTTGTATCTTCTTTCCTGCAAGGCTTGATACCCTTGGCAGAGCTTGATCTCGCTTAATTAATATAGTACTAATCCTGCTCCTATGAGCTATTTCAAAAAAAAAAAACTTAATCATCTTCCAAGAGTACTAACATACTTCCATTATAAATTTACTTTAACAATTTGATATTTACATTTGTTACCGCACGTATTTGATTAGGATATTTTTTACTTAGTACTTTCAATTAGATAAATGGAATTTTACCTTAGAACTAAAAAATTAAAATCAATCCAACTTACAATAAATTAAATTTATCCATCTTTATCAAAGTACTACATATATTAGTAGATAATTTGGGCTTTGTATGAATATATAGATGGATTAATAGTATACTTTATCAAGCCTTTATTGGTTTGATTTAATTCAAGTATTTTCAAATTGTAGCTAATATAGAAATGAAAACATTCAATGGCACAAGTGCAGAAAATATGTGACATTATTATCACACAAAATTAAGGGTTATATTCATTCATCCATGAGTTGAGATCAAACACAATTTACAATCATTTCTCTCAAATCTTGACTAAAAATTCCTAAACAGACGCATCACTTTCCGGGAACAAAGTTGGTGGCGTAGGACCAAGCGTTGTTGTTAACTGGGTCCGCAAGGTGATCAGCAAGGTTCTCCAAAGGACCCTTTCCGGTAACAATAGCCTGAACGAAGAATCCGAACATAGAGAACATAGCCAACCTACCGTTCTTAATCTCCTTAACCTTCAACTCGGCGAAAGCCTCTGGGTCATCAGCCAAGCCCAATGGGTCAAAGCTACCACCGGGGTAAAGTGGGTCCACAACCTCACCAAGAGGCCCACCAGCAACACGGTAGCCCTCAACAGCACCCATCAAAATAACTTGGCAGGCCCAAATAGCAAGGATACTTTGGGCATGGATCAAACTTGGGTTACCCAAATAATCAAGCCCACCTTCACTAAAGATTTGTGAGCCTGCTTTGAACCAAACAGCCTCACCAAACTTAACACCATTACGGGCCAAAAGCTCGGGGAAAACACAGCCCAATGCACCCAACATGGCCCATCTGCAGTGGATCACTTCAAGCTCACGGTTCTTAGCAAAAGTCTCTGGGTCAGCTGAAAGCCCAGCAGTGTCCCAACCATAATCACCAGGGAATTCACCAGTGAGGTAAGATGGGGCCTCACCGGAGAATGGGCCCAAGTACTTAACACGGTCTGGGCCGTACCATGGGCTGCCTGATGAAACAGTTTTGGGCTTCCCGGCAGTCTTCCTCATGGTGATCCTTCCTTCTCCGAGGATTTCGGAGGCGGTTGGGCCGAGCTTTACGGCCTTTCCGGCGAGGGAAGGGGAGGATAGAGCCATTGTGGAGGAAGCCATTGTAAGAGAAGAGATACAAAAGAAAGTAGGAAATAAAAAGTAATAATAATAATGGAGTGGGGTTTGATGGGGATTGTAGAGAAGAAATAAGATTATATAGAAGAAATGAGGGTATCTACTTATCTAAGGGATATCTTTATCTGAATTCTTATTTGCTAGGGAAGATTTGGTAGTGTATTAGTTGGCAAAGTTTTAGCCATGAAGTTGTAGATTTTTTTGAAGTCTTTGATAGATGAGTTTTGTAGGGTCAAGGACATGTGGATGAATTTTGGTTTGCCTTATTCTTGTTTGGATATGATGATATCTGTTTTTGTTGTTCTTGTTGGACGATCATCGTTTGCAACTACCGAGCTGGGACCATGAGTTTGGTAAAGGCGAAGGGAGTGGTGGAATATTCAACATGGCCCTGTAACTCTAAATAATGCCTGTTTGGTAATTAGCTGATAAATAATTGAATTTACTGACAAATTGTGTTAATATTTTGAACTACTCGTTAAATCAACTATTTTATCAAATACTAAAACAGCTTATTGCAAGAATTGCTCAAATTTTTTTTTTACCAAAAGCTGAGTTGAGCATCTTTTTCAAATCAGCTTATTAAATTCCAAATGTGTCTTAAAAGCCACTACTTTAGTGCTTCCCAACATCAACATTGCCTAAAATCTCATCAAACCTCTCTTTACTAAACATGAACTAAATGTCTCACAAGGTTGTTCTAAACATGTTAGAGGCTTGGCACGAAACTTTAAATTTGTCCTTCAAATAAAAACTAATTTGCATAAATGACCCTCATTTCTAAGAGGATCATGTTCTCTTCGTGCGCTCAAAAGTTGTTTTTGCTTTTAATACTTACTTTTATGTCACGTTATTGGTATATCACTAGTCTTGTAAAGTTGTATTGTAGAATGTAGATCATACAAATTTGGATTTTATGGAATGGGAAAAAAGGTCAAAGATGGGAGGCAAAAATAAAAAATCAAAGATGCACCAGCCGGGAATCGAACCCGGGTCTGTACCGTGGCAGGGTACTATTCTACCACTAGACCACTGGTGCTTATTGTTGATACCTTACAACAAGTTTTTATTATATTAATTTGATTTATCTGATGCTGCAAATTGCGTATCCCAATTCCCAAATGAGAGAAACGAGTCCACAAAATTGATAAGGTGAAGAGATTTACTGAAGGAAGGAATAGGAGAAGAGAAAATGGTGGTTAGCAGCAGCAATGCATTCAGATCTTCATTGAGCTCGTTTTTATTACCCACGAAAGTGACGAAACTATCATTAAGCAACAGAATTACCCTGCTTCCACTTTCTAATGTTGCTGCTGTTTCATCTCAACTTACTCATCCTATCAAGTAATGTTTTTGTTCATTCATGCATTTTTTTTTTTTTTTTTCAAACTATCATACTATTAATATATAGCATATGACTCATAGTTGATAATAAGAAAAGATAATGATTGGATCCTACACAATTCTTTCTATAAATTTTAACTTGCTAGTGTATGAGATTGGATGCTGTTTAGTACTAATTCATGATCTAGCATGTGTGGGGATGAAAACTCTATTCTCGATTCTCCGAATATTCTATAAAAGCCTTTCATTTAATTCTCTTCAATATAAGCTTGATGTTTCAAGTTTGTAATGGGTTGTTAGTAGAACCTTATCATGACAAATAATCTTATAGGATAGATGGGTAATCATCAACAGTATTTAAGTTTTTACCTGGTATTTCAGTTTATCAAATTGAAGAATTACATACTAGTTTATCTGATGTTTGTGATTCATAGGTCAGAGATGTCACTTTGTGTTGGAACACATCTTATACCTCATCCAAACAAGGTATATGTAGTTTTCTTAAGACTGTTTTTTGGCATTCTATTCTTTGAATTACATCCAAGTGTTCTATAGACTAAAGAACTTGATAGTTCTGCTGATGACTAGTTGTGTTCGCTTATTTTTGTCTGTGTAGATCGAAAGGGGAGGAGAAGATGCTTTCTTCATAAGCAACCACGGCGGTGGAGCTATAGCTGTTGCAGATGGAGTGTCTGGGTATGCAGTATGCATAACTCCTTACTCTTTACTAATTGATACTGCCTGAATATATATACTTTGTGTTGCGACTGCTGTCATTTAACTTTAACTGTGGCAGGTGGGCAGAACGAGATGTTGATCCTGCATTGTTTTCGAGGGAGCTCATGGCCAATGCACTATCAATGGTGGATGACACAGAGGTCGTTGCATTTTCTACAGCGCGCACTCTCTTTATCTGTAGCACCAAGGGAAACACTACATTGAATTGATTTGGGGATGGACAGAGTTTTGATTAATTATCTCATATTTCAATCACCTGCTATGCCCCAGTTCTTCCTTAGTTTAAGCCTTTCAAGACATATAGTACTATTGTTCAACTAAGGTGTCTATTTGTATGCCAACAGGTGAATTATGATCCACAGGTTTTGTTGAAAAAGGCGCATGCTGCTACCTCTTCAATGGGTTCAGCAACAGTGTAGGTTAACTCTCTAGTGAATACACACACAATGTACTAAAAATATTTCAATTTGATTGGCTGATTTCTCACTTATCCTGCAGAATTGTTGCTATGATGGAAGGAAATGGGATTCTTAAGATTGCAAATGTTGGAGATTGTGGACTACGTGTTATCCGCAAAGGTTTCTACAACTGCTAATCTGAACTAAATCTACATCTTCTGTCCACTTTCTATGTTCTGCATTTGTGTCAATCCTCCTTTTTGATTCATGGTATAATGAAGGCTACACCACTTATACTAACAGAGTAAAAGTATATATTGATAAATCTGTCTTAGCGAGTGACATACAAGTGGTACATAAGATGTGGGACGGAAGATGAATTGGTTCTTCTGAAGTTCTGATTATGTTTTCGTGTTAACAAATACCGGGGCATAGTGATTCTGCAGGACAAATAATGTTCTCAACATGCACTCAAGAGCATTACTTTGATTGTCCTTATCAGTTGAGCTCAGAAACTTCAGGTCAAACATACCTTGATGCCATGGTAAGAATATGTTAGGCCATCTTTACTCAAACAATAATCCCTTTTTGCAGGTTATATTTCACACTTCATTAACAGTTTCATTTCTTAATTGCTTAAATATATGCAGGTGAGCAGTGTAAAATTGGAGGAGGGAGACATTGTAGTAATGGGGTCAGATGGGCTTTTCGACAATGTTTATGACAGAGAAATTGCATCAACTGTTGCAAGCAACAGCGACGTTGCAGAAGCCGGTACTTCCTCCTGCTATAAAATTTACTGTAAATATGATGTTTCTCAGAGTTATTAATCTTCAACAAGTCCTAACTTAGTGGGATTTTTTTTTGCTAGCCAAGGCATTAGCTAGGCTAGCTAGAGATCACTCAAAGGACATCAGTTTCGACTCTCCTTATTCATCAGAAGCTCGAACCAAGGTAAAAACATTCGCGTAAGAATGTTGTTTCACTTAGGTTGGTTTAATACTTTACTCATTCAGAGATAACCGTTGTTGTAGGGTATAGATGTGCCGGATTGGAAGAAGTTGCTAGGAATGAGGCTAACAGGCATTGATTACATATGTTTAGTCAAATCTTAATCTTATTGTTACTTTCTTGTGTGATCCTTACAGAGTATCCTTTTTGTGATCATTGAGCAGGGGGGAAGTTGGATGATATCACTGTCGTCGTTGGTGAAGTTGTAAAGCTCACAGAAACTTCCTCGGGCATAATTCAAAATAACGAGTAATACAAGGCTTGCCATATTTCAGGTAAAGTGGCTGAGCTAATGGCAGTGATGGATCCAGAAAATCTAAAATGGAAATGCGAATGTAAATTAAATACCAAGCTAGAAATTCCTCTGTTTTCAAAACTTATCTTTACCATATTGGTATTGTTTAGATGATTTTGAGAATGCAAAAGCATATATAAAGTAATCAAAGTGAAACAAATTGTATTAATCTTAAGTGTTGAGTTGTTGAGGCCGAAATATAAATACTTCTTTCTCCGTTTCTTTTTAGTTACAATATTTGCTACGAATTTTAAACAAGCTGAGGATAATACAATAACTACATCATAATTTCATGAACCTTACTTATGCATTACCAATCCTGTTGATAAAAGCTCCAAGGTCAGAAGCAGCTGAACCTCCATCGACAATTGCCTTTCTAAAAGTATCTCGTAACTCTGTTGCTCTTCTAACCATCTCCTTTCGATCACCATTTTCCAGGTCAATAAATTTTTTTACAAGTTGTGCTATTTCCTGCCTTGAAACTAATTTTCCCGCGTCATTATTTATCATTCTCCATCCAATCTTCAAATCATTCACAATGAACTTGCTGTTGAGAGTTTGATCCCAAAATATAGGACAAGTGAGCATAGGAACACCAGCATATATACCTTCTGAAGTCGAATTCCACCCACAATGCGTCCAAAATCCTCCTATAGAAGGGTGACACAACACCCTTAATTGATCACACCAAGGTACTAAAATTCCGAGTTGATCACTAATGTCTCCATCTTTGAATCTTGAATTATCACCGCGTGTTACCCACATGAACTTGACACAACTCTCCTTAATGCCCGCGACAATCTCTTGGATTTGATCATTTGAGGCTGAAAGAAAACTTCCTTGAGAAATGTACAACACTGAGCCTCTTGGTTGAGAATCCAACCACTTGAAGTAGTACTCCTCGTTGTTAGAATCTCCGACTAATTCACTAGTAAGGTTGAAGTATGGTATCATTGGACCAATGTTATAATTTCGAATAGGAAATTTTGATTTAAGGCAATCTATCACTTGCTCTTCAAATTCATAGATAGATGTGGACAGAATATACTGTGCATTGCCCATAGCAGAAACTGCTTCACGTACACGGTGTAACGTCTTCCTGCCATCTCCATGGTAGAATGTTGGCAAATCCGCTATAGTTATTGAAGGCAGGCCCGGAATATAGTCCACAATCTCATCTCCTCTTTCTAGTTTATACAAAATGTTAAGTTAGTTAGACCTCTAATGTTGAAAAATTAAAGGAACTTTAGTATTTTGTTGTTAAGCTTGAGCTCCCAATTTGTTCTATGTTAAGCAAGATTGAATATTTAAGTGTACATATCGAAGTATTGAAGGAGAGTATTTTGGTGGCTTCAACTTATTTGAGTTATCTCGGATAAATCTTGTCAAGTGAGGGTACTTGGGATGGAGATCCCGTTGCACAACATGTAATTTAACGGAAGGCCGTTATAATAAACATGTTAAATCCTTAGATTACCAATGAAAACTGTAGAAAGTGTAGATCTTATAATTATAAGACACAAAACAATAACTAGTTAATTACACTAATGATCTTGACATACTTTATCTAACATAGACGATGTAAACTAAGGATTATTTATCCTAGCACGGTGCAAGGGTAAGAATTATCCGCTCTCTGTTATCGGTTATTCGAAAGTAAAGATTACATTAGAACTAGAATTACCAGATACATCAGCGGGGAAATGACCATGTTGGATCAACAAGTCGAAGTGAGAAACAACAGATAAGAAGGAAGCCGAGAACGTAACAAGCGTTGCCACCTGAATATTCCTACGATTCCCAACACCGACAATCCAATACAACATCATGTCATAAACAATAGCTGTTGGTGACGGCTCGAGTCGGTCTAGGAGCCGCTCGAAGGGGTCCTGGAGCTTGGTCAGTACAGCTTCTATGAACCCGGGAAAATCGGCGGATCGGCCTATTTCTGAAGGTATGACCTGAGGAAGCGAAGCGAACTGGAAGTTAGCCGGTGGATGTGGGAACTCAGAGCTGAGGAAGCCAAGCCATTCTTCAGTGACAACAAAAGTGACGAGGATATCATTGGATTTTGTTAGGATAAGCTTACATAAGTTAAACATGGGGTTTACGTGGCCTCTGCCGGGATAAGGTATCGCCACCATGTGGCGGTTTTTGTTGGCGGTGTTGTTCATACTACGAACAATGAGAGGCGCTACCCAAACTATAGAACCACTAGAGTGTATATGTAATGTACTCGTCGTATTCTCGTAATAAACAAAATGTGGCAGTTTGCGATGAATAATGAGAGGCTCTAACCAAATAGGGACCCTTGCGGTTTATAACAAATAATTATAATGGTACACTTAGTACTTTGTCCAACTTTATTAGTAACACTACCAAATTTTTTAAAGATACATCTTATACATAAACTTGTGCAATTTACAAAGCAATAAAGGCACATGTAAAACCCTGCTCACCCACTACATTTATTTACCAATTACGAGGAAGTACAAATGCCTAACAGTTAGGCATTTGTACTGATGGATCATATCGTAGACAAATTGGTAGTGTAGTCCCACTTACTACGACCAGTCACTATGAATGTAGTTGAGAACCATTAGTCCATAATAGTGGTTAGTTGAGTTCGTTTGGCAAAGAATTAAAGAACTTCACCCACCCTCTTTGCCCTCTTCATACGCGTGTGCGAGTAACCTACTTGCCTGGGAGGTGAGAAGGGGTTGTATAGTAGTGGCTGGAGAGAGGGGAGGCTGTGGCGGTGCGTGAAGCCATGGCATTGGTATTTGCAGTGGTGCATGGTGATCGGTGGAAATGTGGTTTGCAGATTTAGTTTACAAGTTTGTTTAGTCTAATAACCAATTAGACAATTGTCTATACCACGCAGAGTAATTTTATAGCTCTACAGTCTATAACAGATCTATACCGAAGGAAAGGAGTCCAACAAAATCATAATCCAACATCCATGTTAACAACACATCTGCAGTTCTGCTTGTCCTTTAAACTTGAGTTTTAGTCTAGGAGCACGAATGTCAAACTGTATGTAGCTTAAGATGTAAATTGGAGCTTCACAAGCAAAAGCCAAGGTTTAAGTTTAGGTCTTGACAAACTCTGAGCCCAAGACAAGAAAGTTTAAGATTTACTCAGGTAGAACAGAGTCTAAATATGCTCAAAATGGTTACGCACCACAAAATTCATCGTATTAGATGCCCAACAAAATTCAAAATTAGTGCCAAAGCAAACGATAACTACGATGATGGATGTATGACAAATGATTTAAGAGGACTAAATGGCAGTACATAAAACAATCAACTTCTATCCTCAATACTTGACTGGGGCAAGAATTTCTAGTTGGGAACCAAGCTTCTCCTCAGCTGCCTTCTCAGCCTTCACCCTCAATTTGTTGAGCTGCTTCTTCCTTTCGTAAACAACCTTGGACCTCTCCTTTCTCTTCTCCTCGAGCTCCTGCAAGTCAAAACAATGGTCAGCAGAAAAATACCAACACAGCAAGTTAAGACAGATTTAGCTCATAGTTCCACACTTCAAGAACAGATGAGATCAAATATCACAACCGGGTTTCCATCATAGCATACAAGTCATGGTAGCATAAAAATTTCAACTTCATGCAGACAAGTTCCAAAATTAGAGAATGCATATATTGAAACAATGCCCCATTAGTAGGCATCAGCAGATTGAACGGGCGCAAATAATCAATTCAAATACATACTCCATTTGAAGAAAACATATTAAATGAGACCATACGCTTGTGCAAATGCAAAAAGAGTTGAAGACAATAGAATTTTAAGCATCAGCTAACACTTAATATAATTATAATGAAATATGGTCAAACAACACTGAAAACACCAATGTATTTAAACCAGAACATAAACATGCTGAGAAAACTAAAATTTACAGAGCATAATAGGACTATTAAAAACTAATGAATGTAGTCCACAATATAAACTAATAAAAGTCACTGTATCAACCAAGTATAATGAAGCACCACAATTATAACATGATAAATATCAAAGTAAAAGATAAAACAATTTAAATGAGGTTCAACAAGTAAATAAGTAATAAAAAGGATAATCGTACCCTGATGGTGTCGTAGTGGTTCCAGCCGACTTCCTTTGATAGACGGCCAAGCAAGCAGTATTTGTGACCCTTTTGAAGCCTCAACACCCTGAATTATCCCAACACGTGATATAGTCAATACTTAGAGAACCCAAAATCAGACAAAGCAAAATCAAATTAAGAGCTGTAATCAACAATATCAAGAATAATCCAACTCACTTAAGAGCGTCGGGAACAACCACCCTCTTGATTTTGTCATAAGGTGGGGGAACTCCCTCATACACCTTCAACCTTGCCAATGCAGCGGCTCCCCTCTTTGTCTTGTGAGGAATCATACTACACAAGCAATTTCACAATAAACACCATTTTTCATAACGATGATCACTAAACACAATATCAAACTCTAATCACAGCACACCAAAATTCAAAACTAATTTCTATAACAACAGCTAAACAAACAAAAAAAATCGAAAGCAACAAAAAAACCAAAACATAAAAACCCCTAGAACCATAAGAGTTTATTAATCTACTAGAAAATCCAAACATATTTCATCTCACAATTAATCTTTTTCTTCTATTTTTCACGTAATAAAAGCTTGGTGATAAAGTGGCATGAACACAAAAGTATCAATTTGTGAGAGGAGATAAACTTGAATTATAATCTTGTACAATAACATGGGAAAGTTTTTAATCTACAACAATCAAAATTACAGCCCTATTAACTTCATTCAACAAAATGCGCCATCTTTAAATCAAAAAGAGCATAAGGATATAATCACTTAATCAAAAACACAATCCAATTTTCAAGCATAAATTAATAAATTAAGTGAAAAATCTCAAAAACTTCATTCACATAATACATTTCTCAAACATAGAAGCTATCCTATATCATCATGAATCAATCAAACATATAAAATCCGAAATAAAATAGATCGAAAAACAGAAAACCCAGAATCCAAAATAAAGAGAAAAGAAAGAAATACCCTCGAACAGTACGCCAGAAGATCTTAGAAGGAGCACGGAAATGAATAGGACCATGAGAAGGTTTAGTGTTCATCCTCTTACGAAGAAAACGAAGATACTTCATCTTCTGCCTAACAAGACCACCAGAAAGTGCGATCTCTTCGCAACGAACCACCACAACGCGTTGTCCAGTAAGAAGCTCCTTTGCAACAATGGAGGCTAGACGCCCCAACATGTGGTGTCGGGCATCGACGACCACTCTCTTCGCCATTACTCCTGAACCTGACACTGCAATCAAAATTCACAGTTATCATATTGAAGAAGATGAAAGATGATCAAATTTACAGAAAATGTTGCGCAAATTCGAAGAAGAAGGAGAGAGAGAGAGTTACCCATGGCTGCTGCAGCAGAGAAATGGGGAAATTAGGGTTTTCGTTTCCGACTAAAAATGAAATAGGGGTTTTGATCGGAGGGTTAGGGTTTGTTGTTATACTTTGGGTTTTATCAAAATGGGTTTGTGTTGTGTTTATAATGGTTGTGCTATAGTGGGCCAATATTTGGGCTTTTGTATTGGGAAAATGCGATTTGGATATCACTGACCCGACCCGTGAAATTGACCGGTGCCGATACGATTTAGCGGTATTTGACCCATTTGAGAACTTCACCGACCTGATTAATTGATCCCGTATAAGAACCATACCCGATATCAAACCGATCAAAAAATTACGCGACTTGAAATTGAAACCATCCGAAAAAGTCCTAACACATTATTGGTGACCATTTAACCCAACTCGTTAACATTTCATGACTTGTTTTACCTAAAATGTAGATTGTTTTTATCCAAATCATTTACAACATGTAACCTATAATTTAGCTATACTATGTTGCATTAAGGTTAAATGTTGATTAATTATATTTTAACTCCCTAAAAGTGAAGTAATCTTGCATAATTTTAAGTGAATGAGAGTAAAATTGGTGGATTGTCAATGGTTGGCGTAGGGAGACTGGCGGATCTATTTAAATGCATAGGGGGAACGTGACACACTATTATTTTTATCTTGAAAATAAAATAGTACTCCCTTCGTCCCTATTTGATCTTCCCATTTGAACTGTGCACGTTTGTCAATGTAACACTTTGACCATAAATGTCGTTAGTTGCTTATTAGTGAAAAATATATCAATTGAATATTAATAATTTATTCATTGAGACGAATCAAATAAGAATCAACATGACTATGTTATGTCTTATATATTAAAAGAAACTTAGGGGTCGTTTGGTTCGCACAGGGGAATCGGAGTGGAATGCAGAAAGGGAATGGAGGAGAATGGAATGAAACCCTTTAAATTAAGCATATTGTTTGTTTTCAAAAAAAAGCTAGGGAATCACACCACTATTGCACCACCACAACAGCCTTCCTTCATTTTTTTTCCACCTTCTCTAGCCACCCCATCGCCCAACACTACTAGAAAAAGGTCAATTTTCGACGGACGTGTTTCGATAGACACAAACATCTGTCGGAAAAAACGACATTTCTGACGAATTTTAATTCCGTCGGAGATTTTCGACGAATTTAAATTTTCCGACGGAATTAAAATTCGTCGAAAAATACTTAATTTCCGACGGATTTCAAATCCGTAGGAAATTTTCGATGGAATTTAAAGCCCTTCCGACGGAATTATGACTTTTTAAAAAAAAATAATAATAATAAAAAATCAAACCCTAAAAAAAACCGGAAATCCCCCCCTTTCATTTCTCATTTCTCTCTCCTCTCCTCTCTCTCCGCCTCTCTTTTTCTCTTTCTCTCTCCTCCTCTCTTCTTTCTTCTCTTTCTCTCTTCTCTCCTCTTTCCTCTTTTGTTTCTCTGTGAACTCCTCTTTCCTCTTCTCGTTTTCCCTTCTCCTTTTCTCGTTATTTCCCCTTATCCTTGTCTCTAGTTTGGAGGTAGCTCTACGGTGGCAGTTCTTGCAACAACGAAGTAATGTGGTGGTTCTACGGTGGCGCAACATGGAGGTGCGGTGTTTCATGGTTTTTTTAGTCAAATTCGACCATGAAACCTCTAGATCTAGAGGTTTCATGGTCGAATTTGACCATATTAAACCAAATTCGAGGTGACATTCAAAGAAAAACTCGATTCAAAGGTATGTTTTCTTTTTTTTTTTTTTTATTTTACATATTGTTTCGTTGCTTGGGTTGTGGTTGTGGTTTTGGGCGGTTGTGGGTGGTTTTTGGGCGGTTGTGGGTGGTTTTTTGGTGGGTATGGTGGGTGGGTTCGGGTTAGGGGTTAGGGTTTCTGTTGGGTTTCGTAGAGTCCAACTCTACGCGGAAGGGAAACCCACCTAAGACCCGCACACTAATTAAAGCGACTAAGCATGCAATAACTAATTAAACAACAATTAAGAGAGAGAAAGAAAAGACATACTTACCCTTGTCGCGTGCTTCGCTCGAATCTCGAGCTCTTACTTAAACCCCGCAAATGCAAGGTCTCCGACGACTCGTACCCACAAACCCGACCTGAACGATCCAAGTCCCAAAGGTTAGTCGGGACCCGACCAATAAAAACTAGAGTTTTACGAACTTAAGGTTTTCTCACTTTTCTAAGGAGATGCCTTTTTAGTTCCACTCAAGTATTCTTTCCAAATCCCAAAACCTTGGGTATTTATAGGGAAATGAACCTTGAATTCCCACTCTTGATTAATGTGGGAGATTTGCAATTTTTCCATTTTATTTTAATTAAAACAAAATTAAAATTGCAATGCAATCAATAAGTTACAAGTGGCAGAAGGAGGATGAGAGATTAGGTGAGGACCATATCCAAGGGGGGGACCATAGCCTTGGTGCCCAAGGCAATGCCCACAACCCTTGGTCCCCACTTAGTCAAAACCGACATCCCTCCATGTGGCTGGCTGGCAGCCTGCCTTGGCTGCCAGCTGGCGCCTAGCACCAAGGCTGGGCAGCCAGCCAGCACACACACGCACATATCGCAGCCAGCCAGCAAGCACCCCACGCACAGCCAGCATGCGTGCTGCTAGCAAGCCACGCATGTTGGGTGCTGCTGCTAGGTGCGTTGTGCTGGGCGCTGCAATGCTAGGCACACGCACACGCATCATCGCTATTGCCTGGTACTGTGCTAGCGAGGCACACGCACACGCTGCTGCCTGGTGCTGTGCTAGCGAGGCACACGCACACGCACACACTGCTGCTGCTTGGTGTTGTGCTAGCAAGGCTGCCAGCGCCTAGCACCACGCATAGTATAGCATAGCACGCCTAGCATGCTGCTACGTGATGGTGCGTGGCTGCGATGGCTAGGCGAGCAGTGCCACCCCATGCCTTGCGCCAGCGCCTAGCATGCAAGCAAGGCCTAGCCTTGCGATGCTTGGGCGCATGGCGTGCTAGCACACACGCAAGGCTGCGATGCTTGCAGTGGCTAGCTAGCATGCATGGGCCTAGCACGCCTAACATGCTAGGCTTGCGATGGGTCTTGCCTAGCCTACCATTCACATGGCTAGGCCAATGCGAGGCTACGACTAGGCTCGTACTTATAACTTGATTGATTTCATGTCTCGTCGAATTCCAAACTCGACTCGACTTGCGACGCTCGATCTCGACGCTCTAAGCACGATATCCGACGTCTTTGTTCGTAAAACTCCGACGACTCATCAAATCCTTCGGATTTATTCGTCGTCTCGGATCGGTTATTCGATTGGGTTTGACCCGAAGGGTTCAGTCAAGATTAAGCTGTAATATTAATTGTACATTAATATTACTGATCGGAAGCGGCCTCCACCTTGGCATTCCGATCACTTGACCTTACTGAAGAATTAGCTATCCAATAATTCTGAACCCTCTATCGGAATAATACACTTGTTGGAAGAACACCACATTCCTTTCAGTTTGGTGGGTCTGGGTTAGGTGGGTCTAGGTAAGGGTGCGGTGGTTGTAATTGGGGGACATGGGTTTTCGGTGCTTGTGGTGGGTACGGTTGGTGGGTGGAGATGGGGTTAGTTGTGGTGGTCTAGTGGGTTAGGGTTTGGGTGGGGTGGTCTGGGTGGGTTGGAGGTGGCTAGGGTTGGTGATGGGTGGGTTCAGGCTAGGGCTGGTGGTGTAGGCTAGTGGTGGGGGTGGTGGGTGGGGCTGTTTTTTTTTTATTTACATTTCTGACGGAATATTCCGTCGAAAGAGGTATATTCCGACGGAAAATTTCGTCGAAAGAGGTATATTCCGACGGAATCTTTTCCATCGGAAAATTACGACGGACTCTCGATTAAATTCAAATACAACGCTAACAGAAATAAATCCGTCGGAAAAGGTCGAATTTCCTACAAAGGGTTTTGCGACAGACTTATTCCGACGAAATTCCGTCGGAAGACCAATTTCCGACGGAATTTCCGATGTTTCCAACAAATTTTTTCCGTCGGAATTAAGCTATTTTCTTGTAGTGCAACCAACAGCCACCCCAATGGCCGCACCTCACCCAGACCTCCACGAATCCAAATCCAAACCCACGCCACCCCCAAGAACCACCAAGACCGAAACCCAGCCAAGCAACCCCACGAACCACGGCTGTAACCCAACCACGCAACCCCACAAACCACGACCAAAATCCAAACACACGTCCGGTGAGGTGCGGCGAAACCACGACCGAAACCTAGCCAAGCAATCCCATAAACCACGTCCGGTGAGGTGCGGCCTTTGGTTCCGGTGGAGGGGAGGGTTTTTTAAGGGTTATACGTGGGTGGGGGAAGGGTTTCCGGGTGGGAAGAGGGGCGGCGAAGAGCGGCGAGGGTCGGGGGAAGGACGGCGAGCATCCGACGAGGTGCAGCGAGTTCCGACGAGGTGCTACTAGTCCCGGCGAGGTGGTTTAAGGTTAAGGGGTATGGTGGTGGTTGGGAAAAGGAATGGGAAAGGTAGGGGGGTTGGGGAATGGGATTAGGAGGATTTTGGGTAAACTCAAAAATAAAAAGGGGGAATGAGAATGACAAAAGAGGGAAAACAAACACCAAAAAAGGTAATCATTCCCATTCCCTTTCCCCATTACATCGAACCAAACGGCCCCTTAAAAGGTTCTTTTACCTTATAAATAGTGTTAAAATTCTAAATGGGAAAATCAAATAGAGACGAAGGGAGTATAAAAGAACGCATATTACTTTTTTTTTTTTTGGTGCAAACACATATTACATTATTTAATCACTATTGAAGAGAGAGTTTATTAGCTTGTATCTCCTTTTAACTTTAACATATCATGGGTTCAATTTATTTTATTTTTGTTGTGAGGTAAAAAAATGTTCAATTACCTATCTCAACACTCTAAAAAAAAAAATACACTTCATTTGTTTCCTTCAAATTAAAATTGTTGGTTGTTTAGCTTGTTTTCAAGTTGTAGGAAAGCTAGATTAAAATTTTAATTTAAGTAGATGCACGTGTGTGTAATGTTCATGTAACGGAATTGAGTTAACTATTACATAATACTACTCTAAATTTTTAAATTGAACGAACGAGGTAGTTTTATTTTCCTGTTGAATATAATCTACACTGTGAAAGGAGTTTCCGGCCTAGTTTTTCATTAGCTTAGCTTTGAGAGATTTGACAATTACAAATATATTGTCTAACAAGTTAAGAATTTGAAATAATATGGGAGTATAAATACTTTGCATAAACTTTGATTTTTAATTTTCAATATGAATTGATCATGTAACTCCTACTTTTGTGAGGTACTTTTGTAATTTAATTGTTTTTATAACAAATGATTATTTAACATACTGGTCAACCAAAACGAGGTAAGAACTTGAAAACTCTAATTACTTATAATCATTATACTTTGTATATCTTTTGTTTGTTATTAATTTATTTTATCAAATATTGAGAGAAGTTTTTTTGAATAAAAAGGTGGGAGTGGATGTGAGTCATGTGAGCCATTGTTGTCAATAATATTTGGAGTGTTATTTCTTTCTTTTCTTCATCTGAGTACTTTTTCGCCTACTATATGTGCATTTATTTATTTCATCAAATAGGCCTTAACAATTAAGTTTAAATCTAACAAGATCTAAAACTATAAAATTCAATAGATTAAAAACCAACTTATCATTGAAAAAATTTCGTGTACAAATTAAAAACAAAAGGTGATCACAATAAACTAATATAAAATTTTAATATTAAAAGAGTATTTTTTCTTACTTTTTATAGTCATTCTAACATTGTTATCATCTCACTTGAAAGCAAGACCGTACCCTTAAACCTTTAGTATCGTAATATGCATAGGCTATCTACAATATCAAGCTTAAGGAAGCTTAAACTGATCAAATATTGTATAAAGACTTACAAATTGTACTCCATATTTACCAAAACCCCAATCTTATAGCATAATTAGCAAATTTACTTCTAAAAAATAGACGAAATTGATATACCATGTATAACTTAATTATTAAGATGGTACATGGTAAGTTTGGTAAGTTTTTTACCATGATATATTTAAAATAATGTTGCACACATGCTTGATGATTGATGAGGACATTCATTTTTGCGAACATTAAAAAGGTATGAAAAAGCAAAATTCCCCAATATAAAATGCCATATGCAATAGGAAAATGGAGGTCAAATCAAATTATAAGAGTATGATTGATGCAGGACGTTTGGTCCGCCGTCCACAAAACATACGAAGTAATAAAAATCTATTGGAGATTATGCCCAAAAAGTGCTGATTTTTCCATAAAGTAAGAATTGTACAAAATTAAATTACACATCAGCAGAAAAAAGTTTATTAATAATGCTAAAATATCTTTTTCTGGTGAAGATATGTCAATTTCTTGTAGACTTTATAATTTTATTATACTTGTATCAGATACCCTCTTCACAAAACGACCCTGCAAGACCAAAAAAAAAAAATAAAAAAAAAAATAAATGAATGCTAATTATGACAAATATACTACTCGAAATGTAATGAAAATTTCATGAAAAATGTTGAAATATATTTGATGAGGAACATGAATGTACCTTAATCCGAGGTCTTTTATCTGCATTGAGTTTGCGGACTTCATATCTAATTTTCTTAGAGAATAGTCTACTTTGACGTTTTTCTTTGTATCGAAGCACACTTGTTTCTCTTCTCGATTTCTCATCTTCTAAATTTGGCACCTCTCCCATCTATGTTATGTGAAATGTTTAATATATAGTACCATTAATGTGTCTAACAGTGTTATTAAGTCATCAACAAATAAACCTCTTTTCAATTTCATGTTTGTGTTCAATATACAAAAAGAAAGATTAAATAAGCAACTTGTGAATACTTATTTAGGAAAATTATTTCGATAACATGTAAAAATGAAACTTAATTAATAACATGCACGATGTAGTCGATTTGTGGTAATAACTTATAAGTTACAACTATATAACTAGCTAACAAGTACGATAATGTTAGCTAAGCTACTGTTTTTCCACAATCATGACCAATTTACGATATTTTCATTCTATTTCTATATATATATATATACAACATGAAATATGAGAATACTTCTTATACTTGTATTAAAAATTGGATAAAAGTTAAGGAAATTACTAACATAATGATCTTTCGAAACAGATAAAGAAGGATGATGATGATCGTGATGAGCTCGAAGAGAACCTCGATTGGACCAAGCTTCAAGTACTTCGTCATAATTCAAGTTGAGATTCAAACTTGCTTTTTTATCTTCCATAACATTTTCATCCCAAAATCCATAAACACTCCCACAATCTTCACTACTAAAACCTTCACTTTTCACATGACTATTAACATCATCATTAATACTATTAACACTATAATTATTAAAGCTCTCATTCTTAATCTCTTGATCATTTGGGAACAGTAATTCCTCACTTTCCCAACTAGAACTCAAAAAATCCCACCCAAAATAATCATGCTCTTCATAATTGTTCACCACAATTTGATCTTCTTGTTCTTCAATTTTTGCTTCAACATTACTGATCCCCAAAAACCCTTTAATTTCTTCTAAACTCCCATAATTTTCAGGTACTAATTGTTGCTCTTCTTTTTTGGGATTCTTTAGAAAAGAACTCAACCTCATTTCTCTATTTCTCTTCATTTTTGAGGGAAAATGTCCTCAAAAATTTGGGAGTGATATAGTATAAGCATAAAAACATCTTGAAGAAAGTCAATTAAATTTGGATGGTTACGTGGCAGCTTATCTTCTATTGATTGGCTAATAGATTGGGCTTACTGTGTAGTGATTGGTTGAGAGATGACAACATGGAGGAGCTGTCAGTGGGCCCACAAAAAGGACTCTTAGTGGGCCTCCATTTATGTGTTGGCCCCTTTTGCAATAAAAGTGATGGTAAAAATAATAATGTACAAGTTAAAACGTGGGTAAAATGAAGCCCAAGGCCCCAAGCCCATCAGACGATACGAGTCACTGGGTCGGTGTTCACTCAGTTGTCATGTTCCTTGGAAACAAGACCCAAATGTACCATATTCTTAAATGAGGATTGTCCCTTTTTAATGTTTCTTCCACAAAGGGTAGATGCCCAATCAACTGATATATTTTATACACATTCGGGTGAATCATGCACTCAAGTAATTTAAAGTTAGTTTTTGCTATTCATTTGATAATTAAATGAAAAACAATAATTAAAATAAGAATAAAATATCAATGGATGTATGGTGCACCCGGGTGTATATAACAATATCTGAAGTTGTAAGAAATTTTTCCTTAAAAAAGAGTGAAAAACAAAAGCCAATGATAAAATTTGGGGGATAATAATCTTATGTCACTTAGTTTTTTCAGGTTTGCTTCAATTGATTCACATTATTTTTAAAAAGCAATAAGATAAACAATTGAAGACAGAGAGAGTATTAACTCAATAAAAATGGTTTAGATATTTTTGCCTCTCACCTAACTAACCGACTCAAATACCATATCAAATTCATTAATTATCTAATGGGCCCAATTATCACGGTCATCAATGATAAATTAACTTTAGATAACCACAAGTTCAGAAGAGGTTTTAGTCAAAAAACAATTAACAAATGAGATAAGTCATTAAGTTTATACATTGACTCATAATATATTTTTTTTTACACGATAAGATATGGGGGAGGATCGAACTCCTTGATCTTCAATTGACTCATAGTACGACATGCGCTCTTCACAAAATAGTGAAAACTATAGGCAGAATGAAAATAGGTACTTCGTATATTTTTGTCATCTAGTAATACTTCTAGAGGTGTCCTTGCTAGTATTAAGTGGTAATAGAAATTTATCAAGAAACTGTAACACTTTGTCTTTTATAATACTCAAATACTCTACTTTAAATATCTTTTATACGTTAGTATATCTTAAATAAAAGTATAGTTATGTGGGATTTTGTTGAATGCATCTCAACATAATTTAAAATTTTAAAATACTTACGTTATTAAAAATTATAGATATTAATTAATGAATTAATGATTTTTTTTTTTTTGAAAGAAGTCCCAAAGGATATTTTCATTAATGAAAGCCATACAACATCTACAATTAACAATTAACGATAATGAAAACAAATTTAACAAAATCAAACAAGAATTAACCGAAAAAGGGCTAAGAATTAATTAATGATTTAAATATGTATTATTCTTCAAAAATTTAAATATGTATTATTGATTTATTGCAAGGTTGCCTTGCAATGCATCTATTTCTAAACGAAAGAAGTACATAAAATTATTACCGTTCTTACCATCCACTATGCAAAACAAGTTGCTATAATGTCAACATAATTCTTGTAGAGATTGGGCCATTAGAGACTTTTTGGTTGAGGTGCTGTTTGAAATATTTTAATAATTTCAGATTCAAGTTTGATTTGATTCAACTCAAATGACAAGATTGTTTTTCATACTTTTCAAATCTTAATATACTAGCTATCTACTTATCAGTGTGAAGTAATTTTTTATATTTTACTAGGTTTCATATAATCCAATCCTTTTATATCAGAATATTAATGTTTATTTCTCTTTGATTTGCATGGTTTTGACCATCAATATTTTAATTATGATATTATAAAACTACATACCAAGACAAATATCACGAATCTAATAACATTATACATGATTATGTTGTTTATAAATATTATGCGAAATTTTAATCATTTTTATTACTACTGATATTAAATTGAAATTGACCACTATATTACTCCATATGAGATAGAGGCAGTAACTACTTTTCAAAAGAACTTGATATTATTGATTCATTGCAAGCTCTTGATATGAACAAATTGATGCAGAGTCAAATTTTTGCATCGCGATGAGGGAAGCCATACACCTTCTCACATGGGGCAAATTTAATTTATAATCATTATATTGGGTTATTTTCAAACTTTAGTCGACTTATTCTCATAATCTTAACCCAAAAATTTTCTACAGTAAATAGCTAAGGTCAAATACTCTTTTATGCGGCAATAACATGAATTTCACGTGACAAAGACTTGGATTATAATCCTTGAACTCGTATGAAACATCGACAACTACAATGCAATTGATCCGATAATTGAGGTAGATTATGATCTAAAATGACCAAGTTTATGTATAAGTACCGACTTATGAGAAATTGAAAAAAGCATAATTATATGCATCAGAGACAGATTGCTTGTCTACTTTACGTAATATCTTGATAGTAAAAATTATAGTAGTAATGTACAATTAGGGGTAAGTGTGTAACAGGATAACATATTACTCCGCATACTCAAGCTATTCAACAAAAAGAATGCTTGATCTCCAATATTACTTAAAAATTTGTATGCATCCACTAGAGATGCAAGTCAGTCAGATCAGCTTTTTTTTTAAGAAGGTTAATTTTAAAGTTTTCCTACCTAAGTTATATGGAGTACTACCTCCTTTAAATATTAGTTGCAACTTTGAAATATTTTATATCTCATAAATATTACCCCAAAATTACAACTAATATTTATCGGAGGTAGTATATAATTCTATTCATCTGTGGATCTTAGAAGATGACAACTTAGAAATTACCTTCATTGGGGTTTTATTCAATTCACATCATATGGATTTAAAGGAGGTGATGAAGAACCTTTGGTTTGATTGATCAGTCTACTCTCTATGCGAAGGCTCTAGCTTTGTCTTTAAGGTTTTCAATAGGTACTCCATAAATATTTACTCATTCTAAAGGTCTACATGAATTCTTGTAATCTACTCCGTAGTTTGTTTGGCATAGGATAAGGATGGCAGACATTCACTTACAATGGACAATGGAACAAACCTAGGTTGCACGAGAACGGGTATCGACACGAATACGGCCGGTATGAAACGAATACGGAAAAACGTCAATCTAAAAATAGGGGACACGGGTACGAAATGTTAAAATTCATATACATGACCTATACTTAGACTCATAAATGCAAATATAACAAAATTATCAAATTAATCAGCATAAAGTATGCCTAATTGATTTTGTTTCCCACTCTAGTTCTATATTGTCATTCGGTCCTTTCATTCGACTCTCTATATCATATCAACAATATCATAATACTCTTTTAGTTCACATATAACAATGAGGTATATATGAAGGCACCCCTATTATTTAACTATTACTTAATCTATCTTACTTTACTTAAATTTTCTCATTTAAAAAAAAAGTTGAAAAGATAAGGCGACGTGTCAAAAAGCCCAACGGATCGTATCATAGCAGGACACGATCAGTGGCGGAGCCAGAATTTTCCACCTGGGGGACGGACTAAAGGTGGCGTTCTATATATGAACAAAACCTTTTAAACATACCTAAATTGTACAAACTATATATGCTTACAACCTAGAAATCCAAAATTCTTAATTATATAGTCCAAAAAATTGAAACAAATAGCATATTAATTGAAAAATGTGAATAAATTATTAAATCATATACAATCAAAATTATCAAATAATTCATAAATGTGATTTTTAATTAATGATAATCCTAACTAATAAGCAATTTCTTATTCAAATTTTGACGACAGCGGATCCAAGAATTTTATCTTATAGGTTCACAGTTTTCAAACCCAGGACATTTAATTTATATTGAGATATATATAATAAAATCAAACACCTTTGCTCGAAATTCCTACTACAACCAATAGTTTAGGGTTGTAATTTATGCAATTATCAAAAAATTTATGTAGGTAATTTAGAAGTTAGAACATGAAGCCATTAAATTGTACTCTGTATTACTTCTAATTGAATGTGTGAATTAAAGAAATAAGCAAGGAAAGGGAAAACTGTAAAATAAAAAATTAAAAAAAGAAGAAAAACATGTCAGCATAGGGATTGAACCCAAGACCATAGAGAATACTTGTAAGCCCTTAAACCATTGAACCAACCCTTTTTCTTATTCTGCACATAATTTCTTTTAACTATATATTTTTTTTTTGAAGTGGGGGGGACAGCTGTACCCACCTGGCTCTGCCAGTCAACACAGTACAAGATGTATCGTCGTGTGTCCGACACGAACACGATAATTGGATGAAGTGTCCATGCATCCTAGGAACAAACAAACCCAAGAACTAAGCAAGGTTCTTCAACTCAATGGACACATTAAATGATTAAATTTCAACTTTTTTGCTGCTCTTCTTTATAGTTTCTTTTTTCCTTTTCGTTATGCACGTCAAAGAAAAAATAATACGAAGTAGAAATGTAATTTGGATTACATCATAATTTTCAAGATATGCACTTAACAGTAAGTTTGGATAAAGGAAGGGGAAGGAAAAGAAGGGGGAGGGAGGAGAAGAAGAGGGGAGGGAGGAGAAGAAGAGGGGAGAGAAAGGGAGGGGAGGAAAGAATGGTGAGTTTTCCTTTCAAATCTTTCTATTGTTGGAGGGATCAATTTCCTACAATTTAATTCCTTTATTTTTCTCCCCTCTAATTCCCTTCCTTTCTCATTTATTATCAAAATGAAAGATACCCATCTCTCCATTTCTCTTCCATTCCTTTCCCTCTATTTCTTTCAATCTAAACACATCATTAATCAAGTACTGATTTTATAATTTAATACTTGTACTATAAGTGAATGTCAACGTCATGTAAATAAAATTGTAAATGTACATATACTTGAGAATTAGTTAGGTACAAAAGTTGCTTTGCATGTCTTCATCTCTTGTGAACGTCGTTTTATTAATTGTCGTTCAGATCTGCTACTGTATATATACTATATTTTTTAATCACCGGATTAATAATGGCTGAACTGATGTGACGTTATGATTACACACTGTCTTCTTTTGCTTTTAAGCTGATCTTGTGCATTTCGCCTTGATTCGGCCGGGTTTGAGCCATTAACTTTCGGCCCAATCTTAATACTCATTTATAGACTTACAAAAGCCCATGCACTGGTTTTGGATTCATGACCACAACAGGGCCCGATCCGATGCCTCAGGCTGAATTTTTATAGATGCATGACAAAGCTGACAAATTCCTTGATCAGCTCATCTTATTGTATTGCAGCATTCCTAATCTATAATCTACTTATTCTACAAAGTTTAATACTTTATACAAGTATTAAAAGTGTTTCTAAGAGATTATATGTGCCACGTGACACTTTTATACACGTAGTTATTATAGTATAAGGTTTGAGCTCATGGCCAATTAGAAGTAATTTATTAGTCTTACCATTGATATTGTAAATGTACAATGCTGATTTGAAAGTGTGAGAATTTTTTTATTTAGGAGGAAAAGCACAAGCTATTAATTCTTTGACCGTTGACTATTCCAAGCTGATCTTGGCCCGAGCCTTGACCAGGACTGAACTCGTAACTTGGATGGATCGATTAGGTTGGGCTAATCCGGCTCGGTGGCCACCTCTAGTATATTAGTAAAGGAGAGCATGTGAACTTAACACGTAAAGAAACAGCCGGCTTAGCCATGAGCTTCACTTAAATTTTTAAATAGTGGAGATGGAGAATTCGATGACTCATTGACTCTTACTAATTCTACATTACATGGAAAATTCCTATAAAAGCCATGTTACTCTACAATCAGTCCACATCCAATTGCTTAATGTTGACTCTTATAATAAATCCTGCATTCATATGTTCTAACTTGCACACTTTCCCTTTCAAACCAACTTCAACGCCTGCACTTTTTTATAATTACATTTTTTGTTATCTTAATACTATTTTAATTGATTTCATTAATCCTTTGATTATACGTTGTATGCACGTTTGCCTGCCTTTAGGAAGATGTTAAGGCACGAGAAAAAGTCAAAGGATCGCCCTACTTCACACAACAACAACAACAAAAAATAATAATTAAAAAAAAAAAAGATTAAAAAAGAAAAAGATTTGGGGAAAAGATAAAAGAAATAGCTAGACTTTTAACAAGTACTTCTAATGCACTTAATTTTTTGATTGCAAGAAAATGGGGGAAATTAAATTTATGTCCATAGGGACTCTCTTTTCAGAGGGTCCTGAATTACATTGCCAGTAGAAGCAGCAAAATCATTAAGGTACTGCTGGAGATTACTGAAGCTGTTACTAGTTGCTAATAGAAGCGATTTATCATCTGGAAATTCTATCTGATTTTGAAGTAATGTTGTCGTCGGGTCTTGATGCATTTGGATGCTTAATATTTCTGCTTGAGCCATTGCTAGTTGCATTTGTAGCTGTGAAACTTGGTTTTGTAGGAATGAAATTGCACCTACACACCCGTAAACTGGGTCCCTAACCCTTGCATTTGCTTCGTAGACCAAACTGCTCACTGCATCTGCTCTCTGCTCAACTGGGAGTTCCTGAATTTTTCAAAGAAAATAACAAATGCTTAGGATAAAAGATAACATCATAAACAAGAATTATTTTAATTGGTGTGACAAAAATCTTCCAAAAAAATGTTTCTTGAGCCCTTTGCACTAGTATTGTTCTTATCAAATTTGTACAGAAAGAGAGGGGCTGTCAAACCTGCAACATTTTGCTGACATTGCTTGCGCCGAAGACCTTATGGACAAGGGCAAACCTTTGAGGATCATCAGGAGGGAAGTAAGGAGCAAAGATGCAATCTTTTGCGCAACGGCGTCTCAACAACTTGCATGAGGCACAAGGTGAACTCCCAGTTCCACCCATGCTTATAGGAGCTTAACCTTTGATAAAGAAAAAAAAAAAAAAGAAAAAAGAGAAGTCTATAGCAGGACAGATGATGAAGTTGATGGAAAAAGTAACAGGGATATGATATAGAAGCAAAATGGGCCTGGGTAACATATATTTATAGTACTTAATTAAATAGGGACTGTATTATAGTCTAAGAGTTGAATGGATCCCACACTTAATTATATTAAAATAAGGTTCAAACTAAGAAACAGAGTTTATTTAAGACAAATTAGAAATTTAGAATATCAAGGAAAAATGTATATAGAAAGAAGAGCTTGATTAAACGTAGAACAACCCTCAATGGGAGGATACTGCTGAGGTTGAGGCAGTCAGGCAAGAATTCTTATATCATGTAAACATTTACGAACAATTTTACCTATACAACGGTTGCACCACATATTAGAACAATTCTCTTACAGCTTCTATAAAATTATAAGGGGGACATAAAATCAGATTATATTATTGATTAAGGAGGGTTTGATGGTACTGCATAGGATTAATAAACTGTATTTCTCCATACATGCAAGATAAGCAAGGGTAAAAAGGTCAATTAGCATATATAATAGAAGACCACCGCCTAGGCGCGTGATAGGTTGGCATCCATGCAATTGTTTCAATTTCACGTTCCCATTTGACTAGTTTTATTCTTCCTTCCTTAGCTACTCTCATACACGTGAAAAAATGGAATAAAAAGTACAGCTTTTTTACACAGTAAGAGGTGTAATTAATGAGACAGAGCAACTGGGTCTTAACAAATGTAAAACATATAATTAACCAATAATTAAGCAGGTGGGATTAAAAAAAACCCTAGCTACCTTGGTCACAATTTAGAGTGAAAAATGGGATCGACGTGAATGTTTGTTGGCAGATATTCACATCTTCACGTCAAACATAATCACGTATCACAATGTTATTTATGCTCTCTATCAAAGATCTTTGCCATCAGACCAACATTATAGAAGCTAACACATTGTCAAAAATTGTGGGTATTTGGGTCCTTCGGGAAAAGATTCTATAGTTTATTTCATTATTCAAAACGAGGTAGTCATTGTTTTATAAACAAGTACAAAATCGAAGAATATCTAGAATTTATGTGTCTATATAGAAGTATCACTATTTGGATTCATCACAACTAACAAAAGCTTTTTATAATTATTGTCCAATACTTAATTTTTTAATAAAATAAACAAATAACTAAACAAGGAGGTATAATAAAACATTAAGAGTCTAAATAAAAAAAAAAAAAAACAACTTACATGTTCGTAATTGAATTTATCATCATTTAAATCCCAACTTACCCCCGATATTACTCCGTACAACAATATAGTGTAATCACTTCATACATACCCATCTTCACCACCCAACTTACCCTTGAAAATTACATCATATCGGTCATAAATATTTTCTAGGATGCAAGTGTACCAAGCTTGTGCATGTCAAAGACAGTTGTGTTATCGCTTCCTACATACCCCTCTTCTCCCCTACCTGGTACGGAACGGGTCATGGGCTCATACTCATGGCAGTATATCATATCAATTCACAAGTGTGTTTTTTTTGCTGGCATTTGTATATTTTTTCCTTCCGGGAAGTTACAAAACAATTCCCAATTTCATGAACTTCTTTCAAAAAGAGTAATTATATCTAATTTGAAAAAAAAATTAATTTCGGTCAACAATAACCACTCAATGTGGATTATTGCCAATACATGGTGCAAAAATAGAAAGTCTGGATAAATGTTAGCCCTAACCAACAATCAGACACGTTTCATTGAAGTGTTTTAATACAAATGCATGAGAATCAGAAATGCCCTCCAAGTTTACTTGATTATTTAGCAAATTTCTAGATAAATGGTAACAATCAGAACTCTTTAGTACTGTATTTTCAATACAGTATTATTTCATTTGCAGTATTAGGACTTTGGAAAATACTAGAGAGTTCTTCAAGTTCAAAACAAATAACTTTTCACCAAAAAATTGCAAGACTCGGAGAAGTTGCTTATAAAGCCTCTGTTTTTCTCTAAAATTACTTGGAATAAATTCATAATTATATATTTATATTCACAAGTTAGTACAAGATATTACTCACGTAGACCATTCAACGAGATTGAACACTAAACAAAGGTCCAAGGATTATTAAATTAGAATGTCACTACAATAAGATTATACTTGTAATTTTATAAACATACCAACAAAGTTGTAGAACCCTAAGACCTATTCACAATGCAGCATTAAATGCAGTTCACATGATTCCAAGCTTTCTAATCTTTTGTTCCAAGAAAAACAACACTCATTCCACAATGGTCATAGAAAATTGAAATGTCTCAATTCTAATTATACTCAAGAATTAATGGAGGCAGACAATATAATTTAATGAAAACATTCATATAGAATAGCTATTGAAAAGATAACCGAAAATCTTGGTATATCCTGACCTGATATAGATTATGAGAAATGTGACAATTTATATCACATAATATTTGCTCAAGTATAAGTTGTATTAAAAACATCAATGTAACTAGGTTGGATTACACTCAACCTATATTTACTGTAGTGCCTATTAATGTTTGTCAAGTAAAATTTAGTAAATTGCTTAACTAAGGCCCTGTTCTTTTGAGCTTCTGGGCAAAGCAGATTTTATTAACATTAATTATTTATTATTATTATTATTACTATTATTATTATTATTATCGCATTATTATTATTATTATTATTATCGCATTATTATTATTATTATTATTATGATCGTATTATTATCAATAATTATTATTATTATTATTATTATTGTAATTATTATTATTATTATTATTGCTATTACTATTATTATCGCATTGTTATTGTTATTATTATTATTATTGCTATTACTATTATTATCGCATTGTTATTGTTATTATTATTATTATTATTATTATTATTATTATTATTACTACTACTACTACTACTACTACTACTACTAATACTACTATTATCGCATTATTATTATTTGATTTTTTTACTTTTTTTATAACATTAGAAAATGGGTTGAATAATATAAAATAATAATTACTAGATGGAAGCCCGTGCGTTGCACGGTTTTTTCATCTCTTTTTAATTATTTGATTTATTGTATTTAATAATTTCAGACAGCAAAAGTTTAACATTTTTTTAACTATAATTTATAATGAATTTATTAAATATAAATAAATTGTAAATATGATATTTTTTCCGTTATATAAAATCTTTAATGTGAAATGATAAATTTTTAATAATTTAAATACTAAATCATTATTCATTGTTTTACTATATATTTTATTTTGATAGAATCACCAACCTCGTCCACAACCAACCTACTACATCAATGGATAAAAATGTTAGCTAAACTGAAATTGATATAAATTAAATCTTTACATTTATATAAAGTAATCAATAATAAAATCAAATCTATGCATTGAAATTTTTTCATCATCTCTACAAATAACCAAAGCCAAGTATATATATAAGTATATAACATCTAATCGTATGACATTACATAAACAAATAATTGTTAAGTATAATAAATAAATACAATGTAACTAATAATAACAAATATAAATTTAAACATAAGATTTTAAAAATTACCCGGACTTGATGACCTAAAACTAACACAAAATTACTAACACAAAATTCGCTTGATGGGGGTATTGTATTGATAAGAAATTTTATTTGTGTCATATGATGTGTTAGATTTACATGTAAAAAAACATTTAGTAAATAAAATATAAACATATAATCGTTGAGTATCCCAAATTAATACAATGCAAGTAATAATTAGAAATACTAATTTAAACATAGGATTTTAAAAATTAAGCTAAAAATTACCCGACCATTGATGACAAAAAATTAACACAAAATTACTAACACAAAATTCGCTTGATGGGGTTTTTTATTGATACAAAATTTTGTTTGTGTCGTACGATGTGTCAATTTAAATGGTAGGTATAACAAATTTTAATTTAATTATAATTAACGAACAATTTTTATTTCTTATCATAAATACTATCAAAATTTATCTTATATGATAGGTTTCAAACTTTATTATAAGCGTCTATCATTAAATTTTTTTTAGTATATTTTTTTTGGATTTCTTATACTCGTAGTATTGAATTAATAAATTTATCTTTTCCTATAATTTTACTTTATCTTTTTCATTAAAATAATTTAATTCGTGGATTATAATCTACGCGGCATTAAAATTTTAGATATATCAAATTTAATTCGTTACTTTTATCTAGGTGGCGATGCACGTTTTTTTTTTCATACATAATCTCAAGAAAAGATATTTTCCTATAGACTCTAAGTTTATATATATATATATATATATATATATAATTATTTGATTTATTTTACTATTTAATAATTTTAGAGGAAAAAACACATAATAACTTAATTAAAGTGTTATTTCCTATTACAAAAGTATCATTTTTTTAATGTAATTTATTATGCGACTTTATTTATTGTTGTTTTGTATTTTATTCGTTGTTGTTAGTTATATGACAACTGAATTTAATAATACGAATAAATTGTAAATATGATATCTAAAAAAAAAATTGTAAATATGATATTTTATCGATTACATATTAGGTTAAAATCTTTAATGTGAAAAGATAAAAAAAAATTCATTTTTTGAATGATTTAAATCCTATATCATTATTATTTATTTTAAAAAAATAGAAATAATAAAAAAATAATAAAACATGTATACTATGCATCTTATATTTCAATAGAATCACCTACTTCGTTCACACCCATATCTCTTCCATCTAATAAAAGTGGATAAATAAAACATGATAGCAAAAAAAAAATTATATAAAATTAACCGTTATAGTCTTATAAAATAAATCAATATATTTACCAGGAAGTGAAAAATTATTGTGAAATTGATCTAAAAATTATAATTGTACAAAATCAAATCTATGCATTGGAATTTTCATCGTCTCTAATCGCCCGAACAATAGTATTTTGAAAAATTTAATCATTATTTTGTTGTCACTGATAATGCGTGCAATATTGCAACCGTTATAGTCTTATAAAATAAAAGTGAAAAATTGTTGTGAAATTGATCTAAAAATTGTAATTGTACAAAATCAAATCTATGCATTGGAATTTTTTCATCGTCCCTAATCGCCCGAACAATAGTATTTTGAAAAATTGAATCATTATTTTGTTGTCACTAACAATGCGTGTAATATTGCTTCTTATTTGTAACGAATGAAAAATATTTAATTGAGTAAACTTTTCTTTTAATTAATTTTGGACGAATTGTACAAAGTTGGCTTTAATTGAGGTATGAACGTAATCAAGATTAAGTTAATTTGATGACTTGATTAAGCTACCTAAATTACAAAAAAATTGTTCTAATCATAAAATTAGTTAATATAAACTACAAAGGTTTATAAAAGAATTTAATAAATGTAAACAATTTATAAAGATATAATACCTTCTCATCCAATAGGACCATCAGGCGAGAAACTCGTACTTTGATTTTCCAATTATTTTTGCTCGAATCTAATTCTCTGATTAAATCAGATCTGCGTGTAAAAACAAAATTTAGTAAACAAAACATAAACATATAATCGTTAAGTATTCCAATTAAACACAATGTAAGCAATAATCACAGATATACATTTAAACATGAATTTTAAAAATTAAGCTAAGAAATACTCAGCCATTGATGACTAAAAATGACACAAAATTCGCTTGATTTGGTTTTTGTATTGATACGAAATTTTGTTGGTGTTGTAGAATGCGTCAATTTATAATGGTATGCATCACAAATTTTAATTTATTTATTTTTAAGGAATAATTCTTATTTCTTATCATAAACACTATCAAGTTTTATCTTAGATATATAAATCCTATATCTAAAGATGATTTTTTAAATATAATTTTTAGTTTTTTTAAATAAATTAAATCTTAATAAATCACTATTCGTTGTTTTAATTACGTGGCAAATTTCTTAAATCTCATTCGTCACTTTTTCTTAGGTGGCGAGTGAATTTATTAATTCTAAAATAAAATAAAAATCTAATTTTTAATTGGTCGAAATAATACCTTTACTTATGTGGCGCGCCGAGTGCTCTCGAACAATACTTTCATCTAAAATTTTTAATTATTTGATTTATTGTATTTAATAATTTCAGACAAAATTACAAAAGTTTAATATTTAATTTTTTTTACCATAATTTATAATGAATTTATTAAATATAAATAAATTGTAAATATGATATTTTTTCCGCTAAATAAAATCTTTAATGTGAAATGATAAATTTTTAATAATTTAAATCCTAAACCATTATTCATTGTTTTACCATATCTTTTATTTCGATAGATTCACCGACCTCGTCCACAACCAACCTACTACATCAATGGATAAATTGAACCGTGAAATGTTAACCAAACTGAAATTGATATAAATTAAATCTTTACATTTATATAAAATAAATCAATATATTTACCAATAAATGAAAAATTATTGCGATATAAAATCAAATCTATGCATTGGAATTTTTTCATCATCTTCAAAAATAACCAAAGTCATCCATATATTAAGTATACAACATCTAATCGTATGCCATTACATAAACAAATAATCGTTAAGTATCATAAATAAATACAATGTAACTAATAATTACAAATATAAATTTAAACATAAGATTTTAAAAATTACCCGGACATTGATGACCTAAAACTAACACAAAATTCGCTTGATGGGGTTTTGTATTGATACGGAATTTTATTTGTGTCGTATGATGTGTTAGATCTGCATGTAAAAAATCATTTAGTAAATAAAACATAAACATATAATCGTTGAGTATCTCAAATTAATACAATGTAAGTAATAATTAGAAATACTAATTTAAACATAGGATTTTAATAATTAAGCTAAAAATTACCCGGCCATTAAAGACCAAAAATTAACACAAAATTACTAACATAAAATTCGCTTGATGGGGTTTTTTTTATTAATAGGGGTTTTTTATTGATACGAAATTTTGTTTGTGTCGTATGATGTGTCAATTAGGTATCACAAATTTTAATTTAATTATAATTAACGAACAATTTGTATTTCTTATCATAAATACTATCAAAATGTATCTTATAATGATACGTATCAAACTTTATTATAAGCGTTTATCATTTAAATATTTCTTAGTATATTTTTTTTTTTGGATTTCTTATACTCGTATTATTGAATTAATAAATTTATCTTTTCCTATATTTTTACTTTATTTTTTTTCATTAAAATAATTTAATTTGTGGATTATAATCTACGTGGCATTAAAAATTTAGATATATCAAATCTAATTCGTTACTTTTATCTAGGTGGCGACATAATTTTTTAATTCAAAAATAAAATACAAATCTTTCTTCTTATTGGTCGAAATAAGTATATTTCTTACGTGGCGCTCCAAATGCTCTCCAAAAATGCCTACTTTATTTATATATATTATATTATCATTAAATAATAGTTATTATTATCAATTTATATTATTTACTTATTTATTATTATTATTATAAAATATTAATTATTATTATTATTAAATATTATTATTATTATTATTAAATATTAATTATTATTATTATTAATTATTATTATTATTAAATATCAATTATTATTATTATTAAATATTAATTATCATTATCTATAAATATTTGTTATAATTATTAAATAATTATAATTATTATTATTTTTATTAAATATTAATCATCATTATTATTAATAATTATTATTTTTAAGCAGAGTAGAGCAGATTAGATTTCAGCAGAGCAGAGCAGAACAGTTCAAAAGAACAGGGCCTAAGTTGGATCATAATTAAGTCCAAATAATGCTTTATCTTGTATCCCATTTTATATACGGAATATTACTTACAACGCATCACTGACTTAATAAGTTAATTATCATATACTATTGAATAATGTAGATAGATAGTGTGGCATAATCTTAGATAACGAGACACAAGATGAAGGATGTGATAAGATAGAGGATCAAATGTAAAACCTAGTCACATAATATGGAACTTGTAATACGGGTAGGTTTTAAACCATGAGCAATTTTTCAAAAAACACACCTTTTCTTAAATAGATGTATGCAATTACATGGTAATAAAGAAGTATTTGTTTAGACTAAAATCTATTGTAGGTCAAATCAATCCATATTGCAAGCCAAGCCATTGGAATGAGAGGGAAGAAATAAGTGGTTACGCATCTCCAAGAACTAAAATTGAAGTAATATTTGAACGTATGACTTCAAGGTCAACAACTCACAAGTTGAAACCCCTACGAACTACACCAATTACTACTTGGTCAAATCATCACTTCATTACAAAATTAACAAGTATACTTCATATGTTCTTCCATTTGATGTATACTAGCAAAAAAATAATTCATTCTAAGTACTTAAACCCAATTTGACATATGCACTTTTGATGTATGCATACTGCCAAAAATTCAAATCAAAACATATTGCTAGCCATGTCATTTGATGTATGCTCAAATGGCTAATCAAACGCAATGAAATGCGTGTTCCTTAATTTATTAGAGGTAAGTGTACCTGCAATTTCAGGTCTAAGTTTTCAACCCCCTAAGCTCTAGGAAGAAGAGAAAAACGGAAAAACAGGTTTAGAACCTTGTAAAGTTAGCTTGTCTTAAGTGTATTATTTATTCATTGAACAAGGTAAAAAGAAAAACAGACATCTCTCACTACATAAGAGAAGAAGAATCCATGATAGGTCCAATGCACGCATTTAATGCACTTTGGTGATATGGAAGATTCGATTCTTGAAAATTGCATACTTAAACATATTCTAATTGATGCAAAAGTTACGAGTACAAGCAATGTTTACAATAAAATTACTCACCACAGGAAAACTTGAAAGCCAACTCACCTCAACAGTCCAACTGCTTAACCAGAGTTTGTCAACAGGTTCCCAATGAAAGGATATCCTAATTCAAACCGCAAACTGCATCAACTGCATATTAAATAAAAATTCGGTATCAAGCAAAACAACTGTGCACATGGTTGCTGAAAATTACTTGGTATATATTTCTTTTTTCCGAATTAGATTAGATTTTTCTCAAATCAGAATGAGATCTAACATGTTATCATGTAATGTTAGTTCTTAAATTCTAAAGGCAACATAAAATCTTGTGGACCTGTAACAGAATTCAGATGAATTTATGGATACTTATTTACAACTGAAACATATTTAGGTGATTTCTGACGGAAAAAGGGTGATTATATGAGAATAGAGCAAGGCATGGCCACTAGGCTTCATAAAAAGGTCTTGCTCTTGCTCCGAGTGGGGTAAGGGAAGGGTCGGATGTATGCAACATAATCTTAAAACTAAATAATAGAGAGGTTGATTAGTTAACCCTTAGTACAATGTGCAGCCGTTCTCTACAACTTCAAAATTAATGAGAAGTGCGAGCGCGGAGCAGTTTAATGAGCTAGATAAATCAGTCCATTATAATCCAAAAGTCAACGAACAATAAACCATCGACTCCATTGGAAATGAGCTGGTTATATGAATATGCATACCGCACACCATTTCTATGATAAACATCTAAACCACTGTTCTGGCCGACAAAAATTTATAAAATGATTATAATAGATGACTAAGTTGGAAGGACCTGTTCTGCAATAACTGATCTGGAAATTCCTCTGGGCTTGCTACTGATTTTTGAGACGTAACAAGTTACGTACATTCTGCTGCTTGATCCCATCTCTAAAGCTTATGCTTGCAGTACATTTTGCCTCTATAGAAAATGAAGACTGTTTAATGCTCAAAGTTTTCTTTTTCATGTACTCTGTGGCTTGCCCCTGAACTGATTAACCACCAAAATAAGTTACTTACAGTGTTAAAAATGGTACAGGCAGACAAAGTATAAACTTCTAATTCTATTGGTTGTATATGACCAAACAATACTCTAACTAAATAACAGACTAAATTATAGTACTATTATACATATTTATATTTGTTATTAAGCAAGCAGCCTGAAACTACACAACGACAAAAAAATCCTACATAGTTTCATCCTAAATTAAAAAAAATTAAAAAAATAATCGCTATTACTTTCTATATTGGTCAGTATGAAGTATGAACTATTGCCCTAGCCTGGCACATCTTATTCTAGGCATATCAATGCACAAACAAAAACAAATTCTGGCTCAAAGATCAATCAAACCAAACTTCACATACAGGGAACTGCAATTCATAAAATTTGTTCAATGATTTTGAGTGAAACGACGAAAATTTATGGAACGATGAAGAATATATATTAATCTGAAGAAGGCCTAGCTATAACCAGCTCCCACGAAAGAACTCCTTTAAGCTCATAAGAAAATTATTTTAGTAGATTCTAGTTTCAAGCAGACATAATCAATTACCTTTTGTGTTACTAATAAAACAAGGTGCCAAAAGCAAGCAAAAAGAACCAAGAAAACAATATAACACAACGTCGTGCGTGTACACATTCATATGCATATATATGTACACAAACATATTGACTACAAATGAAAACCTAAAAATTAAACTTTTGACAATATGGTAAATTCAAAGTTTTGACAATATGGCAAAGGAAATAAACAAAATAAAAAATAAAATAAAATAAAATAAAATAAAATAAAAACAAAACAAAACTAGTACATGAAGCCTCATTAGAGCCACGTTTAGATGCCAATAGCCTCGGTTCTTAGTGCACAAAAGACTTACATTTTATCCTTTAGAATCCTCACTAATTAAAGTCCCGTGCAATGCACCGATTTTACTAAATTATATAGTCAAGTACAACATGAATTTAACAATTATATACGGAGTACTAAAAAAAGAATTATAGTATCCTAATATACTACTTATTCATGCTCATTTTTATAACAAAATTACTTAATTAATGTAAAATATATACATATAAAAATATTTCGTTTGAGTGTGTGTGGAAAACATATAATCGCCAAAGTAGAAGGTGAATCTTATAGGCTATAAACTTTTCATGAAGGATAGACACACACACACACAAAGGAAAGATAAAGTGGAGGGAAAATTTTCAACCAGTGGATGACATGTGTCATCACTGGTTTCGCAAATAGTATTAAGTTATTGATTATTGATGATTCGCTGAGCTGTGGCAAAAACGTTAAATCCAATAAAATCATCAATGGGCAAAAGCAAAACCCTAGGCACTGGGGAAGGAATATGCTGGCCCCCACAAGACAATCAAGATATTTGATTATGGACCAGTTTATTTCCCCCTCCAATGTTCCTGTGTTTTGGCTGTAGGACTTAAAAGTTGGCAATAAGCTTTCCATAATCTAGAGTCAAGCATGTGTTGGGAATTGTTCCATGTCGGAAGACTGGAAGATTGGTAGAAAAGTGACTATCATATAAGGTTTGTGGGCTATTCCTATTACCATATGATCTTAGGTTAGTAGCCACACCGAAGAGCTACGCAGATTGGACCGCTTCGCCCCTTTACCATAGACCTCCCTTTATATGAGCACGCAAGAGGTTAGTGAGTTAATGCGAAAGCAGGCCGAGCTCCGTAAGACGGGCTTACCTGTTACAAAACAAACTTTACCTCGACATTGGTACCGTACTGGCTTGGCTTCGCTATCGCTCCTATGTAGTGGTCGGCCTTCTAGAAGCTTTGCCAGACTTTCAAGAGAATCGAGGGTGAGGGCTTTTATTCGGCTTTACTTAGACCACCCCTTCGGGGGGAAGTATCCGCTCTCTTTCTAACTGCCGAAGCCTAGCAACGCGCCAAACCATGAGAGTTAAAATCTCAGGTGGTACAGCGAAAGCCGGGTTTTGTGCAATCTCATACTTGGCTTAAGTGCTAGTAGTCTCCCTTCCTATTACGAAACCTCACCAAAGCCTAACAGCATGTCCTTGATTTGAGGCAACTATAGCCTCAAAATAATTATCAGTGACGATGGTGGGACTTCATTAGATCCAAATGGCCAAGGAAATGACAAGGAAAAGCCACATAAAAGATGATTGGCAATTAGTCCATAGTAGAGCCTGATTGAGCCATGAGCTGTATAGGCTGACTTAGGGGAAAGTTTACGCTCTAAAATCAAATCAGATTGCACCTTCCCACTTTAAGAGAAGATCCATGACCCATAGTGGCATAGTGTTTAGCCATTGAGATTATGCACCATGCAGGACAAGGAGCAGATGGCAGTCATCAGCATAGAGCAATATTGGTATAGGCCATATGACCACCAGATGTTCCTATGACTTAAGCTGTTGCTTTATAACATTGCCAAATCACATAACCTGTTGCAAAAACAGGTACTACTGTATGAAATCTAGACTATAGGGCATATGCTATTTGCCTATTTGATTGAAGGTTATCTAGTATGAAGCCCAAGGCCCTTCCACTTGAAAAAGAGAGCTATTAACTACAGGTTTTTCTGCTAAATGGAACCCAGGAGCTTGGGGAGTCTAACTTAAGTTTTCATCTGATAAGAGTTCAAAGTCAGGAAAAATCTTGTGTGTGATCTTCTGCTTAGTGTCTAAAATTCACTTTCCCTAGCAATGAACAGTGATGGGCACCATAAACCAAGCACATAATTAGACTGTGGCATGTACCTTCATCTGATATTGCAGGGGATCCCTTGGCCTGTAGAGATTTGTTCCAAGTGTTCAGGTGATATGTTCCAGACTGCTGAGTTAAGGGCTCTACACTTTTTCTCTTCAAACCTTGTATTAATCAAAGGACCCAAGAGCTTCTAAGATAACAAGGGCTTTAGTCTTAAATATCCAAGATGTCTTGTACTAACAAATGGGGAAACTAGGATGGACAATGATCAAGTAAATTGAAAATTCAAAGAGAAAAGGTATATAGTGCAGCAGATTTGCACCCAAAATAAAATGTCATGTGATTGAATATAAACCAAGGACAATCAATCATATTACTTTATAAATTTCTCTATCTGTATGAAGAAGCTTAATATTGGCCCTATATCAGGGCATCAGGTGTATGGACTACAGAGAATAAAATCAACATATGGGATTGCGGAAAGCCAGAGGGTAACACCAATGAGCCAATTGTTACTTGTCTATACAGAAGAGGGATCTCAAACCCCAAGTTGTTGGAGGGTAGAAGCATTCATGCATAAGCTCAGTCAATATACACAAATCAATTGAAAAATAAACAGCAAACTGTCCATCAGAATAAGCAATGGCCCCATGGCCAACAAAAAATCAAGCATGACAAATCCAAATATGAAACTTACCAGAATGGCAAGTAGATATTCTGATGGCAGTGTCCTTAAGCCTCTGTATTTTATTGATGGTACTCACACTTTCAGAGAGATTGTCACAATTGAAGTCACTTTTTCCATTAAGATACAAAAGAGCATATTCACATGCCTATTAAGAACAAGAAAAATCGAAAAAGATTACAAATATAGCAGATGATCAGGTATTATTAATCAATGACATACTTAGGTTGTTTCTGTTGGATATTATAAGTAGAGGCATAGAGCATTTAATAAAGCTAGAGCTGTCAAAAACCGAGCCAAGCCAAACCCAACCCAACCCACCGTGAATTATGTTCTTTACTAAATTAGATTGTACGAAGTATCATGATGCTCTCTGAGGGTAAACGTACAACCTAAAATGGACTAATGTACAACCTGAAAAATATGTGGTACTAAAACTCCAAAAAAAATTGAGTACTTTACGTATTAAATTAATACTCAAACACTTGCGGAATGGAAGCTCACCAGTGAATATTTGTTGTTCATACTAAACAGGTACTTTTGTTATTAGAAAGTTTAATTATACTTCACCTCAAACCAGAATGCCAATAACAAGAGCTATCCTAGTCCACCATTCTTACTTCCACACATTTAAGGCAAATAAATCATAACTAGTCAATTGAAAGGCAGTCTTAAAGCTATCAATCAGATATAGGCATACAGCCACTGCACACCGAACTATAGGTACATGTAATCCAATTTGTAGTGTACAAGTAGCAGTAAGGAAATTCTATACCATAACCCTCAAGTATTGACTTTTCCAAGTTGTGCCCCCTCCTTTTGAAAATTACACACTGTAACCTTCAACTTCAATTATGTCTCAACAGTGACCTTGCCGTTATCCTACCATAACGGTCACCGTTAGTGGGACCCACTTTGCACTTTTTAATATTTTTTTTCTCGGTTTGTGTGCTGAAAAAATATCCCGTTAAAGGTTTTATGGGTGTAAAGTGGGGCCCTCTAACGGCAACATGTAACGGAGGGTTAACGGCAAGGTTATAGCGTAGTCAATAAATAAACCTTGAGGTTCCAGTGTGGAATTTTTAAAAGGGAGACACAGGGTGGAAAAGTGAACACTTGAGGGTTACTGTGTAGAATTTCCCAAAAAAAAGGCATCATAATCAGTTTATAAACCATCAAAATTGTAGAATTCGCAATTAAGAGATATCACCTTTGCAGTGGCCGAGTAAAAATCATTGTTAAAGGCATCTTCAGCAAAATTCATCCATTCACTGCATGAAACTCGCAGCTCCGGATGACTAATTGTCCACGAATCACGCATAACTAAACCCTCATATCTCACAGCCAAGCAACTCTACATTCACAACAACATAATTCTTATAATTTGATGAAATTTAACATAATAATTCATATTAGGTCAAAATTAACGATTTCAAAACTAGCATTTAGGGCAACTTAGCATCAAATCAGCATCAAAACATACAAATCAAAATTCAACAACAACGAAACTGAAAAATAAAAATTATAAACAAAATTGTGAAGAAAATTCAGAAAAAAGAGAGAGAAACCTCAACATCATCGACGATCGCAAAAGCACGAACGAGGAAATCGAGAATCAGTAACTTATGTTCCACTGATTTTCCTGAAGCTTCCCGAATGGCAATGAGAGATTCTGACCTAAGAAATTCTTTTAATGTACTTCGAAATTCGAGCGATAACTTCACGTCCTTTGATGATAGAATCAACTCCAGAATTCGAAGCGTAGAATCATCAAATCTGCAACCAAAATTCAGAAAAAACAAAATTAAATTGTGTAAGATGATTGCACGAATAAAATGATTACGAACAAATTAATTGGATGATATTGTTCAATATACTGTAATGTTGAAAGAAGAAGAACCTTCTGAGTTTGAATTGGGAGAAGAAAAGAGAGAGTTGGTGGTGAGGGAGGGAAATATCCGCCATTTTAGGAGGGAAGAAATGAAATGCAGCAAATTTGTGAGTTGTGAAAATTGGTTGCAGTTCATATAAGTATGTTTTGGTGCGGTGTATGAGCGCGTTCGCAAGGGATTATAATAATCGGCCTAGGATTAAAATGGGCCTAGTTGTTTGGACTTAACGTCCAGAAGTATAACTCTATGTTTATGATGAACACATTGATTATGGAACTTTAGATTTCTCATTTTATGGTCTTAATTGATTGATGTAGTAGTTTGATAAGTTAGATTGTTAGCTAGTTCGCTCTATGGATTCAAAGTATATTGATCAAGATTTCCAATATACTTGTATTTATGTTATCTTAAGAAATGTAATCAATGCGTTATAAAAAATGGGAAGGTGTATTGTTAGTATTATTGTGTTTGACTCGCATCTTTGCATTAGATTGGATAATTTAAATGACGGGCCAATAATAACGTGTAGCGCGTCACTACCCCCTATACTATCCTTGCCTCCTCAAAAAGCCTCCTTATACCGAACTTTTGTTACTAAAACCATAATTTATCACTTTTAGGGTAAATTTTTATACAAGAACTCGAAGCTTGTTTGGTCAAATCGATTCGCTAAAAATATCTCCCCTCTGACTCTATTATATGTTATTCATATCCCTTAAAGTATCCTTAAAGAAACACATGCACAACCTGGTCTATGTGTTATCCCAATAAGCCCTTAAAAAATATTTAGGTTTTTAGTTAAATAGTTAAATATAAGTAAGCTTAGACGCAAAACAATGCATCATGCATTCTGCATTCATGCTTGTCAGGTGACAAGCTTTTGGAAATGATGCACACGATGACCCATTAGTCCATTTGTATGTCTCTCATATTTTGTTTGGGACAATAATGGGTTCATAAGTTCATGCCGAGTTATACCATTTTCATGTTGGTCTGACCCATATCCAATACAATACTGGAAAATTCTTGGCACATAGCGCCTATGTATATTTTTAGCAATAGGCCATGAAAAAAAGTATTATTTCAAAGGTAAATAGTACCATTAAATGTTGTAGTGGTATAAAATATTTTGCTAATAGTACAAATAAGTATGTAAATGGTACATCAAAATATTAAACCACTATGACATAATGGTACAATATACATGCATAATAATACTCAAAAATATACTACAGTAACCATAAAAATTAAAGTACTATTTTAAATGTCAAATAAATATTGGGTTTTTCTAAGTTATGCCCCTAAGGAGTTGGGTTTTCCAAGTTATGTCCATGCTTTTTGAAAGTTCTAAGCCGTACCCCTAAACTACTAATCTTTAATTAGCTATACCCCTCCCCTAATCCCTCTGTTAACTTAGGTTAACTTTCTGTTAACTTCAAAATAAATTAATTTTTTTTTTTAAAAAAAAAACAAAAAAAAACCCCAAAACACCCAAACACCTCTCTCTCCTCCCTCACAACTACCCACCATTGCACCTCCAACCGCACCACCGCGCCTCGCTTCTCTCTCCTCGACCCATCATCGTGTCACCCTCCTCTCTCCTTCCCTCTCAACTCCTCGACCCTAATCTCCCCCTCTTACTCATCGTACCCCAACAACTACCACACCTAGCCACTTGATGCGCCACCACCACCATTCTTCATGCCCAAATTTTCGAATATTTTTTGAAATTTTTTGGGCAAACGTTGAACAATTTCGACCAATTGAACCATATTCGTGCAGACTTTCATTGGAAAAATCAATTAAAACAAGTTTTGTGTATTTAATCTCAATGTAATTGAACCAAAATTGATGATTTAACAATTAAAATCAAATTGGGGGAAAAATTAGGGTTTTTAATTGTTTTGAACCAAATTCTTTGATTTCAAAACGAAGACAACAATTAACAACTTAATTTTGCAATTTGAATCCAATGAAACAAAATCCCTAAACCAATTTGTCGAAATTTCAATTCGAATTAAATTCCTCCATTGCATTCGAACATTTTCTTTGGTGGTGCACTAGGTGGTGGGGCTGCGATGGGTGGTGGTGGGGCTATGATGGGTGATGGTAAGGGTCGCTGGTGGGGTTCGGCTTGCAGGTAGGGTTCGTCGGGTGGCTTGGGGTGTGTTGGTGGGTGGTGGGTGGTGGAGGGGTTGGGAAGAGAGGATTTTCGGTTGGTTTTTTTTTTAAGAAAAAAAAGTTTTAAGTTAACATATTTTTTCACAGAAAGTTAACGAGGGATTAAGGGAGGGGTATAGCTGATTAAAGATTAATAGTTCAGAAGCACGACTTAGAACTTTCAAAAAATAGGACACAACTTGAAAAACCCAACTCCTGGGGGCATAGCTTAAAAAAACCGTAAATATTTTACCCTTTTATTTGCAAGGAAAATACAATACTTATCTGTCCTAAAAACAACTCATCAAACAAGACGCAAAAAGAAGTAAGAGAGACAGTTAAACTCAAGAGCCAAAATTTCTCTCTAGTCACTTGATCAGAAGGGCGAAGAGCCACAACGGGGCAGAGGTGAAACATACACAGAGATGGCCGGAAGACAGCCGCACTCACGAGCCCCACCACCGTCGCATATGACGGCGCACCACCGTGAAATCCAAGGCCTCCTTCTCGACCAGAAAGAAATGTCAGCAATGCACGCGACTCTCAAGCAAGAACTCGCCGCCGCCGATCAAGAGCTCCGGAAACTATCGGCCGCCGCTCGAAAATTCAGGGAGGAGAGAGAATCTCAAATCAAGGAGCTTTACGAAAAATCTCTCAAATTAGAGACCGAGGTTCGCGCCATTGAGGCCCTAAATTCTGAGCATACCCAAGTAATTGGTGATATTCAGAAATTGACTGAGAGTAAGATTCAGCTTACTGCTCAATTTAAGGTTCTTGATACTGAATTGTCTAGGGTTAAGATGGATGCTTCTCAGGTGCCTGAGATTCAGGCTGATGTTGATAAAATGGAGCAAGAGCTTCAGAAAGGAAGGTAATATAATCTTGATTTCTCATTGAATTTCGTTTATTATTTCTTAATTTCATCTATAAAGTTGACTGGTTCTTGTGAAATTGGAATTGTATATGGGATTTTGTTTATTTTAAAGAATTTGCATTTGAGTGTGACCTCATTCCCTTATTTACACGCCTATTTCTCTTTATTATCATGTGAGTAATAAATGTTAGAAATAGACATGTAAATAATAGACGGAGGGAGTATTGTGTTTTAATTGAAAAGGGTTTGTTAGCAATGCTATGAAATTGGGCTGGGCTTATGTTTGCGAATTTTGATCCTAGATCCTCGAGACTTTAACCAACTAAGCTACTTGAAATTCACTTGATTCTGGGACTGTTTTGGTTTGACTATGATGTTTTAGTTGGCTGCTCTTTAGAAAAGTTATGTGGGTTATATCTTATATTAGTGGTTTCTTTAGTTCAACAGAATTGCATTTATGGATTGTAAAGTGTTTCAAGTATTGTGCTCTAATTGAAAAATAGCTTATGTTGGGAATGTTATAGTTCATGAAGTTGGGTTTTGTTTGAGTTAGGTTTGGGATTGTCTAACATAAGCTCTTCTTTGTTCTTGTTTTGGTCGAATGTTGGGGAAATCAACAGAGCTGCAGTAGAATACGAAAAGAAGACTAGGGCAGCTAACCTTGAACTGAATGAAGCAATGGACAGGAAAATGAATTCTCTGCAACATGATATTGAGATGCTACGTGCTGAGCTTGCTAATGCTGAGAAACGAGCGAGGGAAGCTGCTGCTGCTTCAAATCCAGGCATGCAGTTCCTTACATTTCCTTTGAAGAGTGTCCTACCCGTGCAATCTGTGCATAGTAATTATATGCTGCAATGTTCCACAAGTAGTATTTACATGTTCTGATAATTTTTGTATGTGTGTTTCATGTACAGATCTTGGATACACGGGAAACTATGAGAGTCGTAGTATGGCATACGGAAGAGGTCCTTATTCTGTTCAATATTCCATGCATCAGGTATGCCATCATTAACAATCATGCCTATGAAGCTGGGTTCATTTTGATTATCAGTTTGCCCAAGCTACTTTGGGAGATAGCTGAATGATGTTATGTTACATTGGAAGGACTTGAAGATAATAATAGCTGTTATCCTCAGGAATACTTTCAGAATGAAACTTTCAGTTTGCAAATTCATTGGTTGGTACCTTGATGGAGTTTATTCATGATAAATTTGGTTTAGATTGATATATAAGAATCAAGTCAGTTTAGGTGAACAAAAATCCCAATTGTGCTTTTGAGGTTAGGATCTGTAAGAGACTAAGATTAATCAGAGTGCTTATAAAATAATCTGCTATTGGTTAATGGACTACCAAAAACTGAGTCAATTAACTGTCCACAGATAACGTCATTAAGTAGAGTAGTGGAGTTAGAATGCCACAATACCAGAAGGTCCAATATTCTAGCTTTGATTATTTCACCAAAAGATTGATGAAAAAGTTCAATTAAGGGTCAAGAAGCTTGTTGTTTGGGTAACTTAGATAAATGCTACCAAGTTCATTTTAAAACGATTAAGCTCAAATAAGTTGTAAGTTTAGGTAAGTTTAAACTAGGACATATAAGTTTTATTGGTTCATGAGGGAAATTTTTTACTCGGCTGAATAGAATAAAGCCAGAGTCCTATGTTACTTGTAGAAGGGTATGGATATTTCGCTCTTACAACAAGGACAGATAAGTTTTATTGATATCCCGTAATATCAACATAGTGGCTTCATCAGTTGCCTCTTTTTTTTCCTTTTTTTTTCCTTGTCAGCTCTTAGTTTTGTGTGATGACAGGAGAGAGAGGTTGAAAGGTGAGAGGAAGAACCTACAACCCCAAATCGTAAACTGGTGAACTACAACCAGCTACAGCTTTAATGCTCAAAAGCCCTCAACACTTCTGAAAGCCATCTTTTACATAATTTGGGTGGGTTAGACGGCAGAAAAGGATAAGCAGGGATGAGAGAATAGGGGTAATGTTCAACTCGAATTGGGTTCTAAGCTTAAGAGAGAAAAGGAAACCCCACAAGAAATTGGACGATGAAGGTGTCGAGTGGATTTGGGAATAATCATGTGGGTGAAATGGTTATGTTAGAGACTTTGAAGGATTCTGAGAGTCCTTTGACTGAGCCAAACCTATTTCATGTCTTCATGATTCTTTTGATAATGAGATATAGTTGCAATTTAGGCACCCCAAAATATTAGGGAAGATATTGGTAAAGATGTGGTTGGGTGCTTTGCCTTTTTTTTTTTTTTTTTGGGGGGGGGGGGGGGATTTTAGTGGTTTTACTGACCGCTCCATCTCAACGAAGGAAAAGCCTTTGAACCCTTGACATATGTTTCCTTTCCCATAGTGTTTAGTGTATAAAGTTGCTTATTTGTGAATAAGTTTTCTTCGCTAATGCCTCAACACTGAACAGTGCAAATTTTGATGATTCTGAAATAGCATGGTTGGAATAAAGCATAATTTATTCTGCTTTGTAGGACCTCTATAAATCATGTCTTATATTTTGTAGCATAAGCAAAGTCGAAAGTTACCTGAAATTGTAATGCATTTGCAACATCGCTTGAGGGTATATTGTATCTTCTACTTTATAGATGAGTTATGACTTTCATAAGTTTTTTTTCTTTGGCTGGCAATGATTTGAGGGCTCTAAGCCATTTTCTTTTTATTCACGATAAACATCATCTGAAGTCACAGTCTATTTTTCAGGGACAACTAATGGCGGACAGTGCCTCCTTAGCTCTGTATGGACGTTCAGTTAGTCATGATCCATTTGATGCACAACAGCCCCATGTACGGAAAGGATAATTCCATTTGGCGACTTGCCTTCTCATTTGCTTGAAGGCTAACTGCAAGCATTAACTATAGAAAACGAGTAAATGACCTTGTAAACAGATTTAAGCTGAAACCAGACACCCGTTCTGGGAATATGGTAGTAAGTCACACACACTCGACCTTTCAACTTGGGTGAGAACAAACTTTTTGCTTTAATGATGGAAGCTGCCTGCCTGCCTCCATTTGGTTTACTCGTCGATGAACAGTAACTTTCTCTGTCGGCAACTCGAGTCAGCAATCAGCCAAGACCAAGTACTTTTGTAATAGAAGTTACAATCTGTAGATATGCTTCACATGTTTAGTTTCCCATTGGAAAAGCATGGATGAAAGATCGTTCTAAATGTTAATTGGTTTATATTGGTGCATGATCGATTAAGGATATGTGAATTTGTTTAATTACCGCAACTAATGGATTAAGGATACTAGATATTAAATATATTTTGATGTTCAATAATAATTGGAAAAATATATTTTAAATATTACGAGTACTGAAATAATTGTAATTACTAGTAATTTATTTCATCACAATTTTTTATTATAAAAACACATTTTTAATATACATATAATAACGCAGAACATCGTCTAGGCTTCAATCAACCTTTGTAATACATTTCAAATTTACAACTTTAGTGACCAACCATCAAATTGAATAGGGATGAGCAAATTGGGTACCCGGTCAAAATTTTAGGAATCAGACTCGAAATTGGTTGGAATCGGGTCCTAAAATTTGGAACCGAAATTGGAATTGGTTCAACCGGGTCCTAAAATCTAGGAATTGGAACCCACTTATGTATATAATACAAATTATAACTTATTTTGGTCTATTTTTTTTTTTTTTTAACGTTTAATTCTTATATTTATATATGCATTAAGCTATTTTTAATTATTTTGGTCTATAATATTAAATTGTAGTTTTTTGCTAAAAAAGAAAGTGTAATACTTATTAAAACCAGCCGGATTTGATAAGTATAATACTTATTAAAACACTTATTAAAACACCGAGGGAATATTGGTTTGTAGCAATTCTTAAGTTGTAAATTTGTAAGAACTGTAACTAGTTTGTACAGACTAAAATGATGTTTATTGATTATTACATCGAGTAACTTCGAGTTGGGGCACGAAATCCGGACAGTGGAAGAAGGGAATCGAATAGACGAATACTACTCAAATGGAATGTCTAGCCATGGGCTATGACTTAACCGCTTTGTATGTTAAATTGTTAATTTTGTTATGGTGGACTTTGCAGGTTCAAACAATTCAATTAATTGATACCACCGCCTAGAGGTGGCCAGTGGGCCGGGTTGGACCCAGCCCACCCTAACTCGCACGGCTGGTGGGTCACGTGGGTCCGACCCGGTTTCAATCCGGCACAGCCCGGCACAGCTCGGATTTAATCCGGGTTGTGTCGTGGGTCCAAAATTTTCGACACAACCCATTTCAACCCAGCTCAGTTTAACCCGTTTGATTCGACCCAAATCGCACAACCCGTTTTGACTCATTTAATTCGACACACCTAGCCCGTGAACCCACCTAACCCGACCCACCTGGCACAACCCAGCCCGCACGGCCCACCCGCACGAATGACCCACCCAACCCGCACGAGCCAACCCACCTAACCCGCACGCATGACCCACCCAACCCGCACGCATGACCCACCCAACCCGCACGGCCCGCACAACCCGCACGGCCCGCACAGCCCGCACAATTCGCACGACCCGCACGGCCCGCACGGCCTAACATCCATTTTAAAAAAAAAAACGGCTAGTTTTTTGTATCTAACGGCTAGTTTTTTGTATCTAACGGCTAGTTTTTTAAGTGTATGATCATCCATTCTATTTTTCCTATAAATACCAATTCCATTTCACTCAAATTTCCACACAAATTCAAGCTTTCTTTCTCTCTTACTTAAAAATTCTTATTGTTCTCAAATTCTCAAGTGTTATATAGAGTTATATTTTTGTTAAAAAAAATCTCCTTAATATTATTATTAGTATTCTTAAGATTCTAAAAAAAAAAAGTTCTTCTCCATATTATAATTAGTAATCATACAAAAAAAAAATGAGCTCAAGAGGAGGAATGGGAAGGAGTCAAAGTGGTGGTCGAAGTGGTAGCCAAAGGAGTGGTGGTGCAAATTTTTCGTATGAAATTAATACGGAAAATTTAAACCAATTTGTCAATGAATATGGAGATTATGGTTTAGGAGATAGGCAAAATATTCAAACGTCTCCACCACAACATTTCTCCCACGAGTCCCACCAATCATCAAGTTCAACTATGCCACCTCCATCGCAACCAACATCTCAACCTTCATCTCAAGGTAATTTCTAATTAAATTTTTATTGTTATGAATATTTAAAAAAACTATTATTAATGATTATAAAGTTAGTTTAGTTTCCAATTTTCTATGATTTACAATTAGTTAATTACCATGAAAAATGCGTTTAAATAAGTATAATTAAAATATTTAAAATTTAAAAGCTTATTTTCATGAATAGCATTTAAAAATTAATTTTAATAATTTGATTTATGAAAGGTGGTGGCGGTGAAAGTAGAGGTCGAGCACATTTTTCTTGGGTGTGGAAACATTTTGAACGAGTTGAGGTCACACCCCCGGGATGGCAACCTGGTCAACCAAAGAGGTTCACGTGTACATGCCTAGTTTGCAAGGCGCTAGGTGCAAATGTCAAGTCATATAATTGGAAAACGGGAGATGGAACCGGAACCTTGAGTCGGCATTTGCAAAATAAACACGACTTGTTCGAAAATGGCCCCCGTCCTTCGGGGGGTGGCGTCCAAACACAATTGGGTGGATACATGAACCAACCCGGCGGAGGTACACCTTTCATTTATAATAAAGATAGAATGATTGATGAAATGAGTACTTTAGTTATTGCTAATGAATACCCTTTTAGTTACGGTGAAAATGCAAACGTTGAGCATTTTAATAAAGTTGCATTACAACCTGCATTTACTCGTGTCCCCCGAAATACCCTAAGACGTTATACACAAACTTCTTATTATAAGTATAGGAGTGGTTTGATTGAATTATTTCGTACTTTTGATGGTCGTGTTAGTTTTACAAGTGATACATGGACTTCTAGTTTTGGCGAACCTTTTCTTTGCATTACTGCTCATTGGGTGGATGATGATTGGTTTATTCAAAAACGTATACTATGTTTTCAAGCTATGGAAGAAAGGCATACCGGTTTTAACATCAAAGTTCGTATTTTGGATTGTTTAAAAGAATTTCACTTGAATAATAAAGTTTTTTCTTTGTCTCTTGATAATGCAACTGCAAACACAAAGTGTATTGACTATTTGAAAAATGACTCCGAGTTGAATTTGTTGTTGGGTGGTAGTCTCTTGCATGTTAGATGTTGTGCTCATATTTTGAATTTGTCTGTTCAAGAGGGTCTCGCTGAGTTGCAACCATTGCTAAACCCAATTAGAACAGTTATAAAATGGATTAGGATTACTCAGTCAGTTAGAAGAAAGTACATAGCTATGTGTAAAGAGAGAGGTCTTAAGAAAAGACAATGGTCTATTGATACCCCTACCCGTTGGAATTCTACTTTCAAGTTGTTGAGTGATGCTATAAAGTATCGTGATATTTTGACCCAACTTTACAATGAGACTCGTGTTGATCCTACTGAGTTAATAACCGAAAGTCATTGGACTAATGCTTCTTTTGTTCGTGATGTTTTAAATGCTTTTGATAGTGCAACTCATATTTTCTCTTATATTTATGAGCCTAACGTTCATTTAGTCATAATTGAGTGTGTTAAAGTTGTTCACACCATCGAAGAGCATATGAAGATTGATGGACTTCGTCCCGTTCTTGATAGCATGAAACGTAAGTGGCATACTTATTTTAGTGAATTTCCAATCATTTATGGAATTGCTGCTATTCTTGACCCCGGTGTCAAAGCTGAAGGTTTGGAAAATCTTTTAGAATTTTATTATACAAGTTTAAGTATCGATTATGATGTTAGTGAATATATTAACAAATGCAAATCTGTTTTGGGAGACCTTTATGATCATTATGCATCTATTTATGGTTTTGATTTGGCAACACCAACTACTACTAGCACTTCCGATTCTAGATTTGGTTTTCTTGATAAAGTTATGAAAAAAAAAACACAAAGCATCTACATCATTCTCATCATCATCTTCTTCAACACTTGCTATTAATGATTATTTGTCATATCAACATGAGACCAACAACAACTTTCAAATTATAAAATGGTGGCAAGAACATAAAAAAAGTTTTCCTATATTGGCGAGAATTGCAAAAGATATACTTGCAGTTCCCGCTTCATCTGTTGCTTCCGAGTCTGCTTTTAGTGCAGGTAGAAGAGTGTTAGATGAAAAAAGATCTCGCTTAACTCCGGAAAGCATTCAAATTTGTGTTTGTAAGAAAGATTGGGATCAAGCTGAAAGAAGAACTCAAGGTTTAAAGGAAGACGAAGACGATGAAGATGATCCTGTGATGATATTGGAGTCGTCAACGGATGATGCAGCTTCCGGGGATGATGATGCAACAAACATGGGTGGCTAGAAAAGTCTAAATCAGGTACGCTAAGAACTACGTGGGCTTTGATTCTTTCGGGATACGTAGGCAACTTATTTTTCGAAAATTACAATTTAATTGCAAAATTAAATTTTAGTTTTCTAAAGATAGGTCCAAGCCCCCCCCCAAATTTCAAAAGAAGTACAATATAAGAACTACGCTGGCTTTGATTCCTTATTTTATAATATAAGGATACGTAGGCATCTTAATTAAGAGCAAGCCATCAAATTGTTAATTTTGTAAAAATTAAAACACCACACAACCCACCCGACCCTAACCCACAAACCCACCCGACCCTAACCCACAAACCCACCCGACCCTAACCCACTAACCCACCCGACCCTAACCCACAAACCCACCCGACCCTAACCCACTAACCCACCCTTCGACCCACCCTAACTCACTAACCCACCTTGACCCGTCTAACCCACGAACCTAGCTCGACCCACCCATGACCCGTCTAACCCACAAACCCAGCTCGACCCACCCACGATCCGTCTAACCCACAAACCCAGCTCGACCCACCCACGACTCATCTAACCCACGAACCTAACCCTGGTGTGTCCAACTTCTCCGACCCAACCCACGACCCGGCCCACCCTACCCTACGTGTGTCGTGCCGTGTGTCATGAAACCCCAACCCGCGACCCACCTAACCCTAACCCAGCTCGCACGACTCGCACGGTGGACACCTCTACCACCGCCCACTTTTACAAGTTAACATAAGCTACAATTGAAGACGACCAACAAAACTGTGAATGAAAGGAAAAGCAATGAGACGCATGAAAAGAAAGCCAAAATGTACTTTAGC